TGAAGAGGAGGTGAGAACACAAACTCCTAACCAGTTGACAAGAAGAGTTCTCCTAAGCCAAGTTGCTGCACTATATGACCCAATTGGCCTAGTTGCACCAGTCAAGCAGAAAGGAGCGATCCTTGTTCGTAAAGCGTTCCAAGAAGGAGGGGGTGGCAAGTTGACCCAAGAAACCTGGGACCGACCTCTCTCAGAAAGTCTCGGAGAAGAAGCCATACAGCTTTTTGAGAACTATGCACAGCTTGGTCACGTAAAATTCCACAGAAGCCTCACACCATCTGACTGGAAAGGAAAACCTTGGGGTATCACATTCTCTGATGGAAGTGATAAATCCTATGGAGCTGTGATGTACTTAAGATGGGAGACAAATCAAGGCATTGAAGTCAGGTTTGTGGAAGCCAAAGCCAAGCTGACACCCTTAAATCAGAAAGGAGATGCCGTTAATGCAGAAATGTGTGGCGCAGTCTTTGCAGCCAGGATCAGGAAGTATGTGGAGAAGCATGCTCGAATGAAGATTGAGAGGTGGTTCCACTTACTGGACAGTCAGACAGTCCTTGGAGCTATCCAACGAGACAACTATGGATACCAAACATTCTTTGCAAATAGAGTGGGTGAGATCCAGAAGGCCGGGCTAGTGCAAAACTGGTGGTGGATCCGTGGAGATCTAAACATAGCTGATATCTTAACCAGAGGAGGCGCTCCTGACGATTTGAAGGAAAATTCCACATGGCAAAATGGACCAGAGTTCCTGAAGTGGCCAGTGGACGAGTGGCCTATTCAATCGGCTGGAGAATTGGCAGCCCAGGCCAGAGAAAGGGTGAATAAAATGCAAAGAAAAACATTTTCAGCTACATTGACAAGAGGTCAAGCCAAGACGAATCAGGAAAAAGATTTGTGTAAAGAAAAAACATCCACTCCACCAAAAAGGTTTCCCACTGGCTGGGTTAAACGTCTTGTGGACATAAAACGATTCAGTAGTCTAACCAAACTGAAGAGAGTTATTGCCTGGATCCGTCGAGTTGCTGAGCAGTGGCTAAAGAGGACCTTTCCTAGCTATCCGGTTCCCACCAGAAAGGCAGCTGGAAAGAAGGCGGTTGCAGAATCCATTAGACTGAAACAAAAAATCCCAACCACTATCCTTCATAGGGATGTTAGACGCCTTGTCATTCTAATTCCTGTTGAAGAACAAAACAACAAAGTACTTGTGTGACCTCATTGGGTTTGGAAAACCATGAGCTCAAGTGGGAGGTGTTGGGTTAAAGTTGAGTAAATGGAGGTCTAACTGGTCCACCACCACTGAGAACTACATCTCCCAGAATGCACCAACAAAATGGCGACTGATTGGTGATAAAAAACACCTATGCAGGGTGGTGGCGCTCAGTCCTTAGTCAAACAGGAACAGCACAGCAAGCTCTAACAATGAGTTGACTCTAAAGATGCCAATGGTTGGTAACTATTGTTTTATTTATGATATGAAGTTGTTTTGGGTGACCTTTGAAGTCATGCTTTAATTTAATTGTTTACACTGTTAGTGTGGGAAGATTTAGTTTAGAAGTTCTTTGTTTATTGTATTTTATATAAATGATGTGACATCTAACACTTATCTCTGTTCTTTGAAGGTTATCAACCTAATGTTCACTGAACTGACATAATAAAAATTGTTGGAATGTGAAGGAGTTGTCCCAAAGTGTCCCTTTAGAGTGAAACTAGTGTGGAGCTTGACAGGCAGCAGGTGTCTTCTATATTCAGCCTTTTCAGAATATTCTAATTTTTTGAGATACCAAATTTGGAGTTTTCATTAGTTGTCACTTATGAATATCAAATTTAAATGTAATGAACATTGGAAATACATTGGTCTGTGTGCATTGCATGAATATAATGTACAAGTTTCACGTTTTGAATGGAATTACTGAAATATTTTCAACCTTTTGATGATATTCTAATTTACTGGCCAGCACCTGTATAAGCAACAGCTGGATTTAAAAACAGCTGGAACAATAAAAACAACTAGATATATAAGCAACAGCTGGATTTATAAACAACAGCTGGAACAATAAAAAACAACTAGATATAAAAGCAACAGCTGGATTTATAAACAACAGCTGGAACAATAAAAAACAACTAGATATATAAGCAACAGCTGGATTTATAAACAACAGCTGGAACAATAAAAAAACAACTAGACATATAAGCAACAACGGGATTTATAAACAACAGCTGGATTTATAAACAACAGCTGGAACAATAAAAAACAACTAGATATATAAGCAACAGCTGGATTTGTAAACAACAGCTGGAACAATAAAAAACTAGATATATAAGCAACAGCTGGATTTAAAAACAGCTGGAACAATAAAAAAACAACTAGATATATAAGCAACAGCTGGATTTATAAACAACAGCTGGAACAATAAAAAACAACTAGATATAAAAGCAACAGCTGGATTTATAAACAACAGCTGGAACAATAAAAAACAACTAGATATATAAGCAACAGCTGGATTTATAAACAACAGCTGGATTTATAAACAACAGCTGGAACAATAAAAAACAACTAGATATATAAGCAACAGCTGGATGTATAAACAGCTGGATTTATAAACAACAGCTGGAACAATAAAAAACAACTAGATATATAAGCAACAGCTGGATGTATAAACAACAGCTGGAACAACAAAACTAGACATATATGCAACAACAGGATTTATAAACAACAGCTGGAACAATAAAAAACAACTAGATATATAAGCAACAGCTGGATTTATAAACAACAGCTGGAACAATAAAAAACAACTAGATATATAAGCAACAGCTGGATGTATAAACAACAGCTGGAACAACAAAACTAGACATATATGCAACAACAGGATTTATAAACAACAGCTGGAACAATAAAAAACAACTAGATATATAAGCAACAACAGGATTTATAAACAACAGCTGGAACAATAAAAAAACAACTAGATATATAAGCAACAACAGGATTTATAAACAACAGCTGGAACAATAAAAAACTAGATATATAAGCAACAGCTGGATTTATAAACAACAGCTTGAACAATAAAAAACAACTAGATATATAAGCAACAGCTGGATTTATAAACAACAGCTGGAACAATAAAAAAACAACTAGATATAAAAGCAACAGCTGGATTTATAAACAACAGCTGGAACAATAAAAAACAACTAGATATATAAGCAACAGCTGGATTTATAAACAACAGCTGGAACAATAAAAAAAACAACTAGATATAAAAGCAACAGCTGGATTTATAAACAACAGCTGGAACAATAAAAAACGACTAGATATATAAGCAACAGCTGGATTTATAAACAACAGCTTGAACAATAAAAAACAACTAGATATATAAGCAACAGCTGGATTTATAAACAACAGCTGGAACAATAAAAAAACAACTAGATATATAAGCAACAACAGGATTTATAAACAACAGCTGGAACAATAAAAAACTAGATATATAAGCAACAGCTGGATTTATAAACAACAGCTTGAACAATAAAAAACAACTAGATATATAAGCAACAGCTGGATTTATAAACAACAGCTGGAACAATAAAAAAACAACTAGATATAAAAGCAACAGCTGGATTTATAAACAACAGCTGGAACAATAAAAAACAACTAGATATATAAGCAACAGCTGGATTTATAAACAACAGCTGGAACAATAAAAAAAACAACTAGATATAAAAGCAACAGCTGGATTTATAAACAACAGCTGGAACAATAAAAAACGACTAGATATATAAGCAACAGCTGGATTTATAAACAACAGCTTGAACAATAAAAAACAACTAGATATATAAGCAACAGCTGGATTTATAAACAACAGCTGGAACAATAAAAAAACAACTAGATATAAAAGCAACAACAGGATTTATAAACAACAGCTGGAACAATAAAAAACAACTAGATATATAAGCAACAGCTGGATTTATAAACAACAGCTTGAACAATAAAAAACAACTAGATATATAAGCAACAGCTGGATTTATAAACAACAGCTGGAACAATAAAAAAACAACTAGATATAAAAGCAACAGCTGGATTTATAAACAACAGCTGGAACAATAAAAAACAACTAGATATATAAGCAACAGCTGGATTTATAAACAACAGCTGGAACAATAAAAAAACAACTAGATATAAAAGCAACAGCTGGATTTATAAACAACAGCTGGAACAATAAAAAACGACTAGATATATAAGCAACAGCTGGATTTATAAACAACAGCTTGAACAATAAAAAACAACTAGATATATAAGCAACAGCTGGATTTATAAACAACAGCTGGAACAATAAAAAAACAACTAGATATAAAAGCAACAGCTGGATTTATAAACAACAGCTGGAACAATAAAAAACAACTAGATATATAAGCAACAGCTGGATTTATAAACAACAGCTGGAACAATAAAAAAACAACTAGATATAAAAGCAACAGCTGGATTTATAAACAACAGCTGGAACAATAAAAAACAACTAGATATATAAGCAACAGCTGGATTTATAAACAACAGCTGGAACAATAAAAACAACTAGATATATAAGCAACAGCTGGATTTATAAACAACAGCTGGAACAATAAAAAAACAACTAGATATATAAGCAACAGCTGGATTTATAAACAACAGCTGGATTTATAAACAGCTGGAACAATAAAAAACAACTAGATATATAAGCAACAGCTGGATTTATAAACAACAGCTGGATTTATAAACAACAGCTGGAACAATAAAAACAACTAGATATATAAGCAACAGCTGGATTTATAAACAGCTGGAACAATAAAAAACAACTAGATATACAAGCAACAGCTGGATTTATAAACAGCTGTGTTTGTTCTCATACGATTAGTGATTCGATCGTTGTGGATCGTTCATCAGTGTGAGACTCAGAAGTAAACATCTGATAATCATCCTTTAGACTCCTGGTTGAGACACAACAGATGTGTTTCTTTGAGCTGTAAACACTTACATCTGTTTGTTCTGCCTCCTGCTGAGCTTTTCACAGGAAACGGACGACTATGGAGAAAATAACAAGCAGAAACTGAACTTGATTGTTTCTCATCACAGACATTGGTGCAGAGACAAACAGGGAATAGGTGGAAACTGAGTAAAGTTAAAAGGTTGGCAAAGCAAAAGAAGCACAGCGAATGCTCATCATCATCAATCAGAGGTGACTAGACTCACTTCAGACTCTCCTGAGACGAGGAGGAGGAGCGATCAGATGTTGGGAGTGACATGACACTGTCACCGCCGCTCAGATGAGCCTGGAGAGCTCTCTGATAGGACGACTCCAGACCCTGGAATAGAAGCTCCGCCTCCCGGCTGAAGTGGCCATAAAATCCCCAGTAACACCTGAAATGATGAGCAGCAAAAACAAGAAGCTGGCGGTTAGTCAGGGTGTTTGTGCTTCACACCACAAACAGTAATAATCTGCTGGAGGTGCCTTACTTCCTGGCCACAGAGCGAGCATCGGCGTCTGCATCATGGATGCCTTTCTTTATAGTTTCCATTAAAACGGCTCCATGTCTGTCAGAAGGACAAAATCACAACATTTACTTTCTCCAGTTTTAAAGGAAACTGGTCAGCCTGGTGGTTCAACAACTCACACTGGCATCAGCCAAAGAAGGTGAACTGATCCAGAACATTTTAGAACATTACATGAAACCAAGAATAAAACCTTGTAGGATTTAACCAAACAGGAAGTTAAACCTCTGATCATCAACGACTCTGTGAGAGACGAGAACTAGAGTCAGAATAAAACACACAGTGTAAAATCTATAGGAGGAGAAAGAGAGGAGCTCCTCCTGACCACCGTCTGGTACCAACCAAAACACCTGAAGAGGGTCTGAACAGATTAATATTGTAACGTGATGAAGGAGCTATTCCTCCAAGGTTATTTAACTTTTTCCGCAGTTGCCTTTGACACAGCACCAGAGTGCATGAAACAGCCTCAAGGTCATGCATTCGCTTCTAAACTGTTTACTTTCCAGCAATGAAGACAGAAGATGAAGAGACTTTTCTTTTATTAAAACAAAGAACTATATTTTCAATAAAGCTAATCAAAACAACTGTTAGTCAATAATACAATGTGACCGATCTGTGAAATCACAATATTATGATTAATATGTTTTAATAAGTAATATGACTTAATCTAGTTCACTAGACACACTGACACACGTAAGGAAAACAATCACATGACACATTGCTGTACTGATCCAATCAGAACCTTCCTAGTCTGAAGTGTGGCAGAGTCTCTGTGGTGTTTATAAATCTGTCAGCTTTGATTTGTCCAGAATCAAAAACATCCAGATTAATAAAACTGTTCCAACGCCATCTTAAGTTCAGTTCTCAAGATCTCACTGGAGTTCACAGCATGTTAAGTGAAGTACGGACCGGCCATCTGTACTTCTCTTTTTAAGCTGAGAACCATTCAAGCTGGGAAAATTCTGTTGTTTATCAACCAAGCAACAGTTCCTTTCAGAATAAAAGCTGAACTTGCTGACCCAAGGAGGGTCCCCATTTTGACGCTGTGAACCACCTGTCGCTTTTTACCTGGAGACAATCCAAGGACTAGTTTGTCGTGCTGTGACGCTGTACCATTGGCTCCAGTACCGGAAGGAAGGTCCGAGGACCTGGCATTCTGGATCCATCATTGGAGGTCTCACTGAGGGTATGTGGATGCAACAAAATGGCGTCTCGTGTGTTTATGACTACAAGTCTCAAACTCTGATCGGTTAGGAGCAAAACATCATCTCCCACTCAGACTTTGTTTCTCCGGATATGAGGGTTCTGAATGACACTCATTCACACACACCATCCACCTCACACCTCATTCAAACAGAGCATCCATCATTAGCAGAGTTAGTTTTGTTGAAATTGTGTTAAAATTATTTAGTAATAAATTATCTTAAACGTTTAAAGGACTCTCTCTCTTCTCGTCTCTCAGTTAATACAAGGTGTGGCAAATCCCTACAATAAAAAGTTCCAATCTTCTGGTTAAATAACTCAGTGGTCCGTAAGATTGATTGCTTACTCGATATGCAATCTTAATGTCTCACGGTCCTTAATTAAGTGTAAATTAACTTCATTACAATATAGAGTTAAACTGGTGCTGACCTGTGAGGAATGAGACCAGACCAGACCCCAGGCTTCACCAGTATGAATATGAAACATGACTAAACTGGTTCCAGTAAACACCTTGCGTTTATGAATGGTGGACGTAAATGATCCGTTAATAATTCTAAGCTGTGATTTCTGAGTTCTGGTGAAACTCGGGAGTGATTTGGTGACAGATGGGTCGATGAGGCTCCCTGACTCAGAGTCCCTGGGTCAGATCGGGTTTCTACTCAGCAAAAGGAAGCAGCCAGACTGGAACACAATCGGGCTTTAGGAGGCAGACAAAGAATCCCCGATATCACCAGGGAGACGGATGATGTCGATCCCAAGCTGACCCAGCGTCATGTTTCCTACCGAGGTACCAGGAGGATCCCTTTGGGTTTCAAATCCACTAAAACATTAAATAAACCCGCCTTCAGCTCTGAGATGTGACTCTAAAACCAGTCTGATCTGGTTTCTCACCTCTCCAGGCCGCTGGTCTGCCACTCCTGTAGGATCAGGTCCAGAAACTCAAAACAACGTCTGAAAATGGAAAAAATTCAGTAAAACCACAAAGAAAGAAACAGCAAGACTTTTTTTAAATTAAATATAAAAATCTGGACATTTAAAACCTGCAATAAACCGAATCTATGAAACTTTAACGACAAACATAAAGATAAAAAGTAGGATTTAAGCATTTAGAACCACACACACACACACACACACACACACACACACACACACACACACACACACACACACAAAGACCTGACCTTCTCACAGCCACGGATCTGGAGGAGCAGCTGGTGATGATGATGGAGATCAGACGAGGAAAGTGTGTGTGCTGAAAAACACACAAACCTCTGATGTGATTATCAGTGATGAGCTTTAGCTGCAGTAACACTGAGGGCCAGCAGGGGGCGTTAGGGTTAAGAAGGTGGTTTCTGCTCTCCCAGTGTTCTTGAGCCTCCTGTTGACTAACCCCGGGTTTCCACGGGAGCCGTCAGCAGCACGTTACTGCAGCAGCACGTCTTGCTCGCGTAAGCTGCTGCTTGGCCCTTCCCACGAGACGCGAAGCAGCAGGGGAGCAGCTGTCACCGACCGAGCACGAAGTCACTCGAGTGACTTCGTCAGTAAACACAACAACAAGCAGGAGAAAACTACAACATGGTTTGTGTTTTATGTTCTGTCCGTTTTATAATCGCCAATACGGACCTGAAAAACAAAGCAGGCCGCTAGCTAGGTGATAACTTCTCACGGGGACGCACAGTTAGTAACTGTTTTTAAAAGTAAAGCAACCGGAACGCAGTACGTTATTTATTCTGAAAATCTCGGAAGCTTCTCTCCATTTCCGCGTTCGATTTCCTGTCTTTCCTTCCCCAAAAATGTCGAACTTGACCCGTTTCAGAGGCGTCGCGCGTAGAAAATAGAACCGGCGCGTAAAGGGCGTGACATGCTGCTCCTGAGACGCGGCCGACTCGCGCTGCTGACGGCTGCCGACGGCTCCAGTGGAAAAGGTTCTGTTGACCAAAGCGGTTCCTATGAGCAGCTATGACGTGCTGCTGCAGTAACGTGCTGCTGACGGCTCCCGTGGAAAGCCGGGGTAAGAGGTTCCATCAGAACAGAAGCTTACCATAAGAATGAGGCGGATGGCGGCCACACCAGATGTGGCCATGACTTTGGCGCTGTTGGGGACCAGGGTCAGGAGGGTGGGCATGACGGCCTCGGCGGTGTGGTCGAAGCGTCTGCGGAGAACCGATGACAGGTGGCTGCAGAGAGGGAGAAGAGCCAGTTAGACGAGAGAGAACAGGATCAGGGGAAGAGACACACACTAAAAAAGGAAGTGATGTCACGCCATCGGTCACCTGATCTAATTTCTCTGAATTATTCTGGGTTTTGTGAATCTTTATAAACTCACGAGTTAAAACACTGAACCGGGTTTTTGAACTTGTGAGTAACCAGAACCAGAACCAGGCAGAAGCTCTCTCCTCTGGAACAGTGAAAGCTCTGTGGTTCTTGGCTCAGGAGTCATTCCAGCACCAGATGCAGAACCTTCTGTTGTTTCAGAGGAAACTCCTTCCTGGTTGGACCGTTTCTGATCTTCCTAATTCTCCACAATGAGAGCACTCTACTCTTGGTTAAGGACAGTCCTAACTGGACCGCGTGGTTCCGGCTCACCCCAGTGTGATGCAGGCCTCCTTCACCACCTGAGACCGCAGGTCCTTGGCCGACAGCTTGAAGGCCGCCTCCATCAGCTGCAGCTGCTGCGGGAACTCATCAAAGTCAGCGGCGCCGGCACAGACCAGCGATCGGACCTTCTTTATCTGAGAGGAGAGGAAGCAGTCGTTATCGGACCCGATCAGGGTCGGGTTAGAGCTCAGGGGTCAGAGGTCAGGGCTTACCGCGGCCACTCGTAGCTCCCAGTCCCCCTTATCGTCTGAAAGAACGTCTCGGATCTTCGTCATGGCCTCACCCGCCTCCCGGCTGGAGTAGATCTGATGGAGAAGGTTCTGATGATCCACCTGTTGCCAGATTCAGAACCTTAAGGTGAACCCGACCTCCTACCTGAACCGGGGCCACATCCTCAAAGGCCTGGATGAAGTCCTCTACATCCACAGCTCCAGCCCCCGACCCGTCTCTGCCTGCAGAACAGAACACGTTAGAGCATCAGAGTCCTCCTAAACCAGGCTGGGAAGTTCTGGTTCTGACCTGCACCCTTGCTGCTGGAGGCGGAGGAGGCGCGAGGGAACAAACCCATGTTCACCTTCCTCCCAGCTTTGGATGAGGAAGAGGAGCGTCCGCCGTCCACAGACTCATCATCCTCAAAGGTTCTATCTGTGGAAGACAGAATGGGTTTGGGTCAGAACAACGGGTCCACTCAGCAGCAGGCAGGTTCTGGAATCTGTGCAGCTGAATCAGAGCAGATGACTGAGATTCCTGGAGAACAAGCAGGTTCTGTTCGGTGTACAGCCTGAACACCGAACAGAACCAGCCTGGCAGATACTTCCTGAGTCAGGGGTCAGAGGTCAGCTGAGACAGAACCACAGTAGTGAAGACAGATCTGGACCAGGTTCTGTCTCTCGTTCTGACCGTCTCCATGGACACACACCCGAGCTTTAGACAGAACTAGAATACGCCTCAAACAGAACCTGTCAGAACCATGGCAGCATCAGCTGGTTAACATCTGAACAGAACCAATAGAACCGACCCTGGAGCTGCACCAGAACTCAGCTGAGAGGAGGACAGGAACAGGAAGTGCTCCTCCTGACCTGATCTCCGTTTCTTGTCTGATTGCGGTGCTGAAGAAGAGGAGCCGCTTACAGAAGCAGATCCTCCTGCAGACCAGTTTCCTCAGCATGACCGGGTCCAGATCAAGAGGTCCAAACGGGTCCTCACATTGTCCCGGAGCAGAGCAGAAAATCCATCCTCCTCAGACAGAGGGACAACAGAGGGGAGGAAGGAGCTGCTCCTCCCCTTTCTCCTGACCAGCAGCATGTGCTTAAACACGATCCTCCTCCTTCTTCGTCCTCTAGTTCTACTTTGGCTCCTCCTCTTTCCTCCTCTGGACTGCCGATCACATGAGGGGGAAGGGTCAGACAGAGGAAAAGAGGAGGTGGTGCTGAAGCAGGAATCAGAGATGAAGGGTGACTCAGGAGGAGGAAGAGGAGAAATTTAGATTTATCCTGTTTCTGTTTCCTGTACACCAGTTCACTCAGACCAGTTAACACAGACCAGTTCACCCTGACCAGTTAACATAGACCAGTTCACCCTGACCAGTTCACTCAGACCAGTTAACACAGACCGGTTCACCCTGACCAGTTAACATAGACCAGTTCACCCTGACCAGTTAACATAGACCAGTTCACCCTGACCAGTTAACATAGACCAGTTCACCCTGACCAGTTAACATAGACCAGTTCACCCTGACCAGTTAACATAGACCAGTTCACTCAGACCGGTTCACCCTGACCAGTTAACATAGACCAGTTCACCCTGACCAGTTAACATAGACCAGTTCACCCTGACCAGTTAACATAGACCAGTTCACCCTGACCAGTTAACATAGACCAGTTCACTCAGACCGGTTCACCCTGACCAGATAATTTGGTCACAGAATCAGAATCTGATCCAGGAGATCCAGATCCAGAGGAAGACTTTAGATAGAATCTGTCTCAGTGAAGGGGCCAGGAGGTCAGCACCAGTACAGTAGGATCAGACCAGGTCTACAGGAAACTGATCCTCCTCATGGGGATCCACCACCTGACCAGGGACCCTCTGGATTGGTGGACCCTTTAGTGTCACTAACTATCCTGTCCTTCCTGGGGATGAGAACCAGTGCACCGCTCCAGTACCTGTCCTTGCTCAGATCTCAACACAAGATCAGGTGTGGACAGGTTCTAGTTCATTCTGAGTTTCTGACCTGGAGGAACAACCAGGGGTCTCATTTATCAAACATTGCATAGAATCCTTACTGAAACCGTACTTAAGCTCAGCAAAAAAAATGTACTTACGCCAAGTAGGTTTGTGATCTATCAAACATGGAGTACGCACAGCTGCACGCAAACTCCACTTCATAAATCAGAGACTAACGAGAATGTTTCTCAGCTGCATTTTAGTCACATCCCGCCCTCAACACGCCCACTTACTGCCATAAATAGTCAATGCAAAGTGCCTTGTGGATCTCATGCATACACATAAGCCGGCTGTTGCAGCATTTCAATCACGACCACAGATCAAGGAAGCGCTATTTCACAAGCAGAATTTGAGGTACTTGTGGGTGAGGTGGAGAAATGAAAGGAAGTGCTTTTGCAAAACAAATAAGACGAAATCCACGGAGTGGCACAGCGTTGCTGAAGCCGTCAATGCTGAGTTCTTCAGAGAGATCTGTGGCAGATATAAAAAATGATCCGATCAGGATTCGATCTCCAGATTCCCGGGTGAAAGTCACACGCACGCTAACCAAATTCAAATTAAAAAAAAAAAATAAAACTTTAATCATCCCCGAGGGGCAACCAGTCACCCAAATGGAGAACTCTCTTGTTCAAGTAGCCAGGGCGCATGATCAATCGGGTCACAGTGACAGGACCCTCACGCTGTCACAGACGCATGACATTCTGTCTCAATCTGTCCCCCTGCTGATATTCTGCATTCCGTATTCTGCGCTTCAGGCTGTGTGTGTGTGGGGGGGGGGGGGGGGGGTCTTGTTCTGTGTGAAAACGAAGCAGTACAAGTGATAATGCTGCAGGATTTGATAATTGTATCTTCTCAGCAGCAGCACTGCAGGTGCTCTCCACGTCCAACATGTGCGTAAGCCAGGTCCTTAGTCAACTTAAAGTTGCGCACATTTTTCTGCTAAGTTTTCTTTCATAAATCCCAAAGTTTGCGTGGAAAGTTGCTTACGCAGTTTTCCGACCCCGTTTTGTGCGTAAGCAAGCTTGATAAATAAGGCCCCAGGGCTTTATCTATGGTTTAAACTAAAACCACCATAGAACAGAATAGACTTTAGTGACAGTGGGGAAATTCACCATGAATACTCTTAAAACTCTCAACGGTTCTAAAAAGACCAACTCAGAACAGAGTCCAACAACAGGAAGCAGTCTGACCCCAAACCGACCAACAGGAAGCTCAGATCTAGTCCACGCTGGTGTTTAGTCTAAAGTGTCAAGTCCCTGATAGCAGAAGAGACTCAGAGGGAACCGGGTCCAACAGAAACCACCTGATAACATGTTAAAATCATCAAAAAGAACATAAACATGTGCGATATTAACACATGCTAAATGATGCTAACATGCTAATTGATGATACAGAAAAACTAGCTAATGCCCCTCAGGGGGCCCTGTGGGGGGTACTCTGGGAGTATGGGGTACCAGGCCCTCTGATATGTGCTGTTAGGTCCCTGTATGAATGGTGTCAGGGCTTGGTCTGCAGTCTGGCTTGTTCCCAGTGAGAGTTGGACTCCACCAAGGCTGCCCCTTATCACCGATTCTCTACATAACTTTTATGGACAGGATTTCTAGACACAGCCAAGGTGTTGAGGGGATCTATTTTGGTGGCCTGAGGATCGAGTCTTTGCTTTTTGCAGATGATGTGGTCCTGTTGGCTTCATCAGAACGTGATCTTGGGCTTTCGCTGGAGCTGTTCGCTGCTGAGTGTGAAGCAGCTGGGATGAGAATCAGCTCTTCTAAATCCGAGACCATGGTCTTGAGTCAGAAAAGGGTAGAATACCTTCTCCAGGTGATGGACGAGGTCCTGCCTCAAGTGGAGGAGTTTAAGTATCTCGGGGTCTTGTTCACCAGTGAGGGAAAGATGGAGCGTGAGATCGATAGGTGGATTGGTGCTGTGTCTGTAGTGATGCGGGCGTTGTACTAATCTGTCATGGTGATGAGAGCTGAGCTGTAAGGTGAAGCTCTCGATTTACATGTCGATCTACATTTCTACCCTCACCTATGGTCATGAGCTTTGGGTAGTGACCGAAAGAATGAGATCGCGGATACAAGCGGCCGAAATGAGTTTTCTCCGTCGAGTGGCTGGGCTCTCCCTTAGAGACAGGGTGAGAAGCTCGGTCATCTGGGAGGGGCTCGGAGTAGACCCGCTGCTCCTCCACATCAAGATGAGCCAGTTGAGGTGGCTCGGGCATCTGGTCAGGATGCCTCCTGGATGTTTCCCTGGTGAGGTTTTCTGGGCACGTCCAACCAGGAGGAAGGGAGACCCAGGACACGGTTTTGTCTCTTGGCTGGCCAGGGAATGCCTTGGGATTCCCCCGAAAAAGCTGGCTCAAGTGGCTGGGGAGAGAGATTTCTGGACCTCTCTGATTAGGCTGCTGCCCCTGTGAACCCACCGGAAAAGCAGAAGAGGAAGAGATGGATGGATGGATAACTGATGCTAACACATACTAGTTAAAGTTAACACATATGTGATGCTAACACATACTATTTCATGCTAAAACTAACTAGCTGCTAACACAACGTGTGCTTTAGGTGGATAATGTAATGCTTAGCTGAAAAGCCATTCTATCTATGCAAATCTTTTGTACAATCGTTCTGTGTTTAATTTCGTAATCCATTACTTTGTTCTTTTTGTACTTTGTTTTTACTAAACTGTAAAAAACGAACAAAGCAATGCATCCTGCCTATGTAAAGACCTTATTCTTTAGCTATTGCTACAGTTGGTGTATATTTGTAGGCTAGAGGACCACCTCTGTCCCTGTGGAAACCTCTAATAAGGTCTGAAATCTCTGTTTTGTTATTCCCTAAATTGAATAATTTTACTAAAGTAGAAATGTGTCTAGTTGTCTAAAACCAACCTCAGGGTGGTTCTCTCTAACCATAAAATGTTTCAGCAGCTCTTTATCTTCTTTTCTGATCAGTTCAGACTTTTTAAAGTTTGTCTTTGTGGAATGAGAGCAGCTCACACACACACACACACACACACACACACACACACACACACACACACACACACACACACACACACACACACACACACACACACACACACACACACACACACACACACACACACACACACACACACACACACACACACACACACACACACACACACACACACACACACACACACACACACACACACACACACACACACACACACACACACACACACACACACACACACACACACACACACACACACACACACACACACACACACACACACACACACACACACACACACACACACACACACACACACACACACACAAGCTGTTTTTACAGGACCATAGCATTTGCAAAATGGGATTTGCCGCGGCTCCCCGGGGAGGATAAAGGTTGTTTATAAGATCAGACCGTGGCGGTAATGTGGTGCAATCGTGGCAATTTTATAAAAGATTAGGTGATGGTGGCATAAAGGGGATATGGGGGCGGTCTCTGCGCTGCCGCACACTTCCGTTTATCTTGGACATAACTTGCTTTTTGTTGCGATTGAAGCCGTGATCGTTACGTTTTTTTTAACAAGCAGCTCCTAAAGGTGTCTGTCCCCATCAGTCCCTGTGCAGTCTCTGGTGATCTGAGCTTCAGCTCTAACAGACAGGCTCATGGAGCGCTGCGGCGCTCCAGTTTGCCATCTCAGCTGATTTTGTTCAAAAAGCAAACCGTATTGCCTGTGTTTACTTTCATTTTCAATAAATTTGCCAGCCGGAGCTCAGCAGTAACTCCCCACATCATGACATCTGCCTCTGTTGCGCCAGGGCGCATACGACAGACCATTACCGCAATATCATTACCAAGCGAAGCAGAACGAATGCCGCAAAATTCGTGCAACGCCATGCCGGCATGGCACGTTTATAGACATACCATTGCGGTAATATTACGCCGATTTGCCGGCATGGTGTGTCTTGTAAAAAGGGCTACTCTCTCTCTCTCTCTCTCTCTAGTCAGAGACAGCCTGACTGTCTGCAGATTCTCCTCAGCAGGCTCCAGGCTCTAAGCAAACCTGGAACCAGTGAGATGGCCTCAGTGAATCCTGAACATGCTGAACTCTGTTCTCCTGATCTGGATCAGAAAACCTGAATCCTCTTAGGCCCTCCTCAATCAGTTCTTTATTAAAGGTAAGACCAAGAACCCAGAGAACACCAATAGTAAAGATCCAGGCTACTGGACCAGGTGAGAACCAGAAGAGGATCTTTACCTGATAATGGGGACAGAACCATGTTTCCTGACCTCTGGACCTCATCGAACTTACTGAAGATCATGTTGAGCCTGAATGAAGACAATAAAGACATGAATCAGAACAAAAAAATAAACCCGGATAAGATCTCGGGTCTGGAGACAAGTTAGGAACCACAGGAAGTCGGTACCGACCGTACCGACCCAAGCCATCAGAGGTCACTGGCGTCAGAATAACCTGGAGTTGGACTGGTAGGATGCTGCCCCTGGACCGGGTCAACACCAGGGTCAGGGGTTTGTGTTCTGGTTGTGTGACATCATTAGGCCTTTATAATTTAAAGAGACTTCTGACCTTTGCCCTGAGAAACCTCATTAAGTTGAAGAGTTGTGTGTCTGAACCACAGGAGCTATGCTTTCCAGAGCCATCCTTAAACGCACCGTGACTGAGGCAGACCCTTCTTTCCCAGGTCGATTCTGACTCGCTCTCCCACGTGTCGATAAATCTCCACCAGACAGGTCATGGCTGAGTCACGCACCTTCAAGTCACCACACACACACGCACACACACACACACACACACACACACGGCTGGTTTTACTCATCTCTCTCATGAAACATTAATGATAAAAACTTTCAGTCTAGATCGGTTTCCTCTCTGAGTGTTTGAGACTACAGGAAGTGGAGCAGATGGGCAATGCTTCCTGCCCTCAACAGGAAGTCAGAACCACTCCTGTTCCAGATGTCCTACCTGACCCGTAGGATCTCCCAGCAGGTTACAGATGTGAGGAACGATTTTACTGAGTGTCAGACTCTGGGATCCGAACCTGAAACACACACACACACACACACACACACACACAGACCCAATGGCATTAACTCGGTTCAGTCTTCTAAATACCAGAACTTTCATCCTAAACAGTTCTTTGAGATAAGAAAATGTTTTCCATCTTTTCCACATGCACCCTTTCATTTTTCCTGAGTCCTTGTTTACATTTAGGTTTCATATGACCCTTATCTGATAATAAAAGTTTTTATGCTGCAGCGTTAATGAATGCTGTCTGATCGCTCAGCAGATCTGGACCGAACCACTCACACGTTCAGCGTGGAGACGAGACACATACAGAGTCCTTCTCTGGTCCGGTTGTTCTTGTGTTTGAATCCTCCCATCATCCTCTCCCACACGAACTGTACACACACACACGAACACGCACACACACACACACACACACACACACACACACACGCACGATAGTCAGATTAAGACAACAACAACACAAACATCTGAGTCATGTTCTGGTTTTGGTCAGGTACCTGAGGGTTAGCAGCTTCATCCATGATCTTCAGCAGCAGAACCTGGTCTTGGTCTCGGACCTGGTCCTTGGAGTCTCCCAGTCGATCCAGCAGACTGGGCAGAACTGGGTAGACACAAAACCAACTTCCTGTTAGGTTCTAAACTGTTAAAACTCATCAGACACACAAAGCATTCAGGGACATCTCGTAAAATTTAACTTCACACTGACACGGTCTGGTGTCTAAATCAGACAAACATAATAATAATATAATTAGAATTAATAATCAGTGATTTATTTACCGTCTTAGACGTCACAAATGTTATTAATAATAATTTATTTTAAACAGGAACAGAAATGAAGATGAACTTGTTCCACAGTCAGACTCATCCTAATGAAACTCATAGAAAATGTTTTTTATTTATTCTGGTTTATTTAAATTCAGTTTCAGTCTGAGAGGATTTTATGACTGTATTTATTTGTTTAGAAGTCAGAAAGCACCAGTGTCTCTTTCTTAACATTTTTAATCACAATAGTCTATTTTTTGCTCATTTTAAATATATTTTTAACCATTTTCTAAAATTATTTTTTATATTTTTACATTTTTTGTTTTTGTGAAGCGCCTCGTGATTTTTATCTTGAGAGGCGCTATAGAAAAGATATTTTCTTCTTCTTCTTCTAGTTGAGCCCAACTAAATAACACATACCACACTACAGTAAATTCAATCACTTTAATTAAATTATGACCCTTAATGTTCAAAACTGATGATTCAAATATCCACAGCAGCAAATATGTGGAATTTAAAGGGTTAAAATGAATTTTTTTCTTCAAATAAAAAACATTTTAATGCATTAGAGAGAAATAAAACATTTAATTTTAAATTAGCATCGTTTACAGTTATTATTAATAATAATGAAAACATGGAGCCTATTAAACAATGTTAATAATTAAATATCAAAAGTTACTAAACATAAAAAACAATTATGTTGTTTACAATAATAATTAAAAATTTAATTCCTGTTTAATTAAATAACTCATTAATAATATTTTAATATAAAACAGAACCTGCAGCTCTCACCTGTTCCCACCTGAGTCCTGAACTTCTCCTGGAGTCTGCTGACCAGAGCCGACAGGACCTCCATCCCCACCAGAACCACCTGACACACACACGCGCGCGCGCGCGCAAAATGAAACAGGAAATAAACATCCAAACGGGGCTGCAAAGGATTCTGGGTAATCATCCTAGAGCCGTAATCATACCTGAAAACAATAAAATGACCCACATAGATGTTTTAAGAATGATTTCAAAGTAAAAGTCCTGTACTGTTCTGTCATTCCGAGAGGTGAAAATGAAACCAGAACCGAGACCAAGGAGGCTGCTCAGATCTGAGAAGACTGTGACGGTACCGGAACCAAGCCAACTGTCCTTGTCTCGGGGTGGCTCGGGAGGTTCAATGAACGTCTAGTGAGAACGTCCCTGCTAACACCAGACCAACACTTTCGCGCCACCGGGGCGGAAACGTCCGGGATTCGGTGCAATTTTTGGAAAACCATTTCTTTACTAAGGAAAGTCAGCTTTTAGAAGGAAAACATGCTCGCCTTCTGGTGGATGGTCTGAGAAGTGCATCATTTAGCTGCAGAACCGGCTCAGAACCCGCAGTTGTGAGGTCATCAGAACCATTTAAACATAGATCATTTGACCCGGATGTGGATCAGATGGTCTGCTACATAAGATCTTAAATTCACACTAAAATCTCAGTGAAAATAAAATTATTTATTCTCGTTTTAATTCTGTTTCAAAGTCATTATCAAATAGTCAACCATACAAGTAAATTAATGATGTTTTAAACCCCGAAGTCTTTTCCTGAAGTTCAAACTTTTTATTTCTCATGCAACAGAACCAGAAACCAGCAGCTGCTTCAGTCCAGCTCCATCCGCCAGGAATTAAACCAGCAGCTCCTGGGGGCTCCCAGTCCGAGCACCGGGCTAACTAGAACCTGAAACATGATCCAACCACCTGCTGGACCTGGGGACCACTCCTTCTTACAGGTTGGTCCACCTTGAAGGTCTAGGTCCAACTTAAAGAGGACATCTCCCAGGGATTGTCCACTAATGTTTCCGAGAGGAGCTTCAGAGCTCAGTTGGAACCAGTTCAAACCAAGACCAACTTCGGTCTGGGTCAGAACAGTTCTTGGTCCACTCTGAGGGACAAACTAAAACATGATTCAAGGGGGTCCTGCCAGATGAGATGTTTCTCAGACTCACATCTAAACCAGATCCAGGTCAAATCCCGACCTAAAGTAAAACCCAGAACCACAACACGAGACCACACACCGACATTCAAACGCAAACAGCTTGTTTGAGCTTTAAAGACTAATTTCACTGAAGAAGGACCAACAGGGGCAGATGTCCAGTCTGCACAGGTCCATCAGCTGTGACATCATCACAAATTCAAACGTTACTGAATATTTTAGGAGATTGAGAAGCTCAGCAGCAGAACCGGAACCTCTAGCAGCATCTCTACAGATGTTGTGCAGTAGGATCTCCTCACCTTGTAGTTGCTGGAGTTGACCCAGGATCCGGCCACCGTGTCCACCATCCTGTCCAAGAGGCTCTGGTCTTGCTCCAGCCCGGGACACCTGTCCTGGCTCTGGACCAGCTCTGTGATCTCCTGGCCCACCTGGAGCCTTCTTCCCAGGTCCTTCTGCAGGACCAGGTCCAGCAGGTAGTCCATGCTCACCTCCTTCTCCATGTCTGCTCCGGTGGCCCGCTTCCGTTAATTCTCCGGGTGGAGTATTTAGATGTGACGTCCTACAAGAGGACGCTTCTCATCATCCTCCATTCAAACAAGACGGAACCGAAAGCTGAATTAAACCCAAACATTCCCAGCTGTTTGTTAAACCTGCTGATTAATAGTTTAGTCACGTCTAACAGCTGGTTAACCTGCTAACTCCGCGGCTAGCTACTAGCAAACCAGTTTCCATCTAAAACACTGGGAAGCTAGCATTAGCAACGGTAGTTCGGTTAGCTCCCTACGCACCAGCGGCTCTTTTACAATTGCTTACCGGGATCATTTACCTGCTCACCGGTAAGTCGTCCACTCACCGGATGGACCGACTCAGTCCGAGAGGAAGAATTCAGTAGGCGATGCTGCCTCCGGACATGAATCCACCGTTACTTCGCGTAACGGTCCGTTCCAGTCCGGTGGTCTCCTTTTATCTAAATACGCAGTTTCCCCCGTTTCATCCGCTACAGCTGCTAAAGAACCGACCGCAGCCCGGTTAATCCAGTAAAACAAAAAATAAAGTTTTATTTATAAAATCAAACTTGTGTTATTCTGAAGGAATCCGCAGAGTGGTGACCCCTGGCGGCTGTATGGCGGGACTACACCCACTAACTAACCCGGGGACTCAGAGGTTAAAGTTCAACAAAATCAAAACACCACCAGGGGTTGAACGGTTTACTTGATTAGATTCAGGAACAAAAGTGCAACTGGGTGAAGTTCTGAAAGAACCCACTAACAATATCGTCGTTTCTGACGTACATAAATAAAAACAGATTTTTCTAGACAACGTGTACATTCAGTTGGCATTAAAACAACAACATGGAGTCAAATCACAGCACAGAATAATAAAACAAACCATCAAGTTTGAATGTTTTTACAGAACAGGAATCCAGTGTAGTTTCCATAAAACTGCCTGACAGAGTTTAGAGCTGATTGAGGCGATTCTGACTGGAGCTGGTAACGACTCCAACTCACCTTAAAACTAACAAATCAGCTCTTCTGGTTCGTTTGAGCACAAACCAGATGATGAGATGCAAAGTAACCATTAACACTTGGCAGATAAATATGGCAGCAACATAGAAAAAAAAAACAATTGTGCAAAAAAAAAATCCTTGTGTAAATTCAGTTTCAGAGGTCTTCTATGGAATGACCTTTGACCTTCAGGTCAGGGTCAACTGAGTTTTCTTAATTCAGAGGAGTTTTATTCTCCATCATCTTAGAATTAAAACCTACAAATAAATAAGAGTCAAATACTTGTTGATTTAAATGATTCTCTGAACATTAGAGCTTCACCTCCGGTCTGGTTCCCAGTGTTGAACCTCCAGGTCATCCACTGGTCTCAGAGGGACGGAACCAAGAACTTGTCTAAACCCGGGACTCAGCTTTAGAACAGAAAACACGTAGCTTCAAGTTGGATCACGAGTCTCCAACCTCCTCAGTCATCTTTCCTCCTTTAAATTAAATCAGCTGCAAATAAAGTGGTGAGTACAGGTGATTGGGTGAGGGGCGGGGCTTACAGCAAGTGCATTTACAGTCTGCTGTCAGTTAAACATGATGGACTCTGGATCCTGGTTCATCATCTGAGCCATGTGTCTCAGGACGTCCTTCTTAGTGATGATGCCGAGGAGACGCCTGCAGAGACAGATACATCATTAACCTCCTAGGACCCTGTGTCCACAGGTGTGGACACTGGCTCCTTGCACTATAACATTTATTCTCTTCAACTTAGACCTTTTTGTTATTATTTATAGACACTTGATGTTGACCTGAAATTTTTGGAGGGGGGGGGATTTGACAACATTTTAATTGAATTGAATTTTTACTTTATTTGAACATTTGTAATTTTGTTTCTGTTAACTCATTCACTGCCATTGACGACTAAAATCGTCATTTTAGATCCAACCGTTCACTGCCAATGACGACTAAAGTCGACATTTGCATTTTTTTTACTGTTTGAGCATCGGAACGAGCCCCCGCCCTGAAGCTGATCTTCATCCGCATACGTCACAGATCACATGATCAAGAAGCAACACATCCATGTGTTTGGAGATCATTTTGGGCCGTTTCTGTAAAAAAAGTGAGGCGCGAACCGGAAAAGCGTCTGCCGATCACAATTCGACAACGGATTATGAAAGAACGGATAACGCTCGAAACACGCGGCTTCTTCCTGATGGAAGAGGTGAGTCTCCTCTTTGTTTTGGTTGTTTTGGCATCGACATCATGCTAGCGCGCAACGTTCTGTGACTCTTAAAAAAACAGTAAAAACTGTGAGAAACGCTGGCAGCGAAGGCCGTTAGCGATCAGGAAATGGCTGGCAGTGAATGAGTTAATGAGGGTAGACTAATCTATAATAGCTAGGGATGTTTTTTCTTTTATTCACATCAAATACAAGTTCGGGTCTCTCGGGCTGGTGGCGAAGCTGGAGAATACAGGCAACCAAGGTAACGCTAGAATGATCAATCCTGTCAACAATGAATTATTGTTTTAAACAACCAAAAGACTTCATCAACGCTCACTACCTGATAAATAATAAGTGTAATACCCCTGCGACCAGCAGGGGGCGGCATTTTCCCACTAAACACATCAGTTCTAACAGAACTCCATCGGATTCCTCACCCGCTCCTGGTGACCAGGCACTGGCGCAGTCCTAGTTTACGGAAGATGTCCACCACAGTCTCCATGGGGGTGTGGTCTGTGACGGTGAAGGGGCTGAGGTTCAGGATGCGGCGTAGCTTCAGCAGCTGAGGGTTGCTGGCTGGAAGCTGCGGCGCATCTTCAGTGAAGTAGACTACGGAGCTGCTCACCACGCCGTCCTGCTTCTGACGGGCGTTCCCTGAGGATGGACAGGAAGGAGGACGCTGTTACTCGGTCTCTTGTCCCGGAAGCAGGTTTTGTTAAAGACTTACTGATGGCGAGCGTGAGGTCCCGGCGCTGGACGAATCCGATGAGCCTCTCCGACTCCCGGGAAACGACCACGGGGAAACCGTTATAGTCCGTATCCTTGATGAGCGTCTCCACGTCCTCCACTGTGGTGCTGTCCTGCGTGAGGACAGCCAGAGGAGGGTCATTCCGGCGTGGCCTCATCACGTCGGTGGCCAGGGTGCGGTGGGTGAACTCATCCCGGACGTCCAGGTAGGGATAGCCGTTGAGCTGGATGTGGGACTCGTAGATCCCCTCCTTCCCGAAGGCGTCGGCGACCCACTTACTGGTGACGGCGGCGGCCATCAGCGGAACGATGTACTCCAGCCCACCCGTCAGCTCGAACATGATCACCACTAGAGACACCGTCATCCTGGTCACGCCCCATGATCAGAACCACAACATTAATACAGGAACCAGAACCGGCTCAGCTCTGCGTCTGATCCGCTCACCCAGGCAGGCAGCAGCTCCCACCATGGCGTAGAGTCCCGGCGTGACGCAGTCGGCGCCGGGCCGACACCAGTTCTTAAAGATGATCCAGTCATGGTGGTGGTAGGCCATCTGCTCCACGGCGATCCCGACGATCCGACCCGCGATCGCTCCCACCGCCATGCTGGGAATGAAGAGGCCCGACGGGATCTGAGGAGGAACCAGAACCACGGTCACTAGAACTCATCTGGGCCCAAACGTTGTGAAACAGCAAAGTTCTGACCTTCATGCCGAAGGTGAAGATGGTGATGAGGATCTTGAAGACGAGAGCGAGGGCAAGCTGCCACAGGGCGTTGTAGACACCGGGCCCGGCGGGTCGGTCCGGGATGTCGTCTACGGGTCGGCTCATGTTGGGATTGTTGACATAGTCGCAGAGCTGGGAGGACTCCAGCGCTCCACAGTCGTTGAACAGCTCTGAAATCAACTCGCTGGTGCTGCGGCGGGTGTACGGGTTTGGGTACGCCAGAACCGCCGTGATCCCCGTCACCACAATCACCTCCAGAACCGGGTACTTCCCCAGCAGGGTTGTCTTCCTCCGCCGGCACCAGGCGATGTTGGCCCGGATGAACAGGGTTCCCCACAGTCCCCCGAACACCCCCAGCAGGATGAAGGGAACCAGCTCGGCCATGTACCAGGGGGTGTGGTACTCCACGTAGAACAGAACCAGGCGGCTGTTCCCAAACGGGTTTATGGACCGTAGTGTGAACGCCGCCACCAGCGCCGCGAAGAACGACCTCCACAGAGTCTTCAGAGGGAAGTAGTAGCTCACCTGGAGGACAAGAGAAAGCTTTACCACAGAACCAGAACCTTACACGGATCAGATCGGATCAGAACCAACCTCCTCCAGGCTGAACAGAACCCCTCCAATAGGCGCTCCGAAGGCCACGGACACACCTGCTGCTGCCGCCGCCGACAACACCTGTGGAGACAAACACAGATTATTATCCAGAACCAGAACCGGGACCAGAACCTGCTGCAGCGGACCTCTCTGCGTTTGCCCTCGTTCTTGCTGTACTTGGAGAAGAGGCTGCAGAAGAGGTTTCCACAGCAACAGGCCACGTGGACCAGAGGACCCTCCTTCCCCAGACTCAGACCAGAGGACACGGCCAGAACCAGCGTGACGGTCTTTATCAGCAGGGTCCACTTCCCGAGGTATCCCCGGATGATGAAGCCACTGAGGATCGTTTTGATCTGGAGAAGGAGAACAAACCCGGCTCATCAAAAGCTCATGGTTTGTTTCTTCACGTGAAAGTTCTGTAAGCACCCTCAGCTCAGTACCTCTGGGATTCCTGACCCGCACGCGTATGGAGCGAAGACTCGGACCAGTGACACGGCCAAGAAGGAGAACAGCAGTGCCCACAGGATGTACAGGAAGTAGTTCAGCACGTACGCTCCAGCTCCCTGGAATCAGAAACCCAATAAAGTCCAGAACTTTATGCATCAAATCACCTCAAATCAGGTCAGTCCTCACATCTGTGTGACCCGTCATTAGCTCTGCCCATTTCTGCCACTGTGGACACTTGTCCCGGTCATCGAAGGTGGTCTCATTGGAGGTCCAGCAGCACTGCTCGTGGCTGTACCAGAAGGCTGACAGACACACGCCCTCCTTCAGGTCCGTCATCCAGTCCACGGCCAGGTCGATCACACCTGCCAGCGTACCTGAGGACAGCCACAGTTACCTGCTACCACCTGACCCGTGCCTGCTCCAGCTGATGCAGCTCTACAGCTTCATCTGGAGTTACCGAAATAAAAGTGTAAACTTTATGATTCCATCAGAAAGCAGATCCGTTTGCTTCCTTGTAGTCTGGAATAAAACCCCCATCACTTCTGGATCCAGATGTGGACCCTGACCTGGATCTGGACTGACCTGACAGGAGGCCGATGAGCAGCATCACCACCCATCCGGACCAGGCGTCCAACAGAGACTTGATCAGCTCCCAGATGGACTCCCTGCTCTTGCTGGTGATCTGGAGGAGAAGCCGGAAGTGAGACACCTGCAGCAGTAGGATCCCCCCCACCACCACCAAACGCCTCACGGACCTTCCTGTGGCGGTCCGTGTCTCTGGACTTCTCCCGCAGCCAGTCAATCGTGTGGAAGTCTTCATACGTGCCCACGTCCGGGAAGGGTTCGTCCAGCAGGTCCATTAAGGTTCCGGCTCCGTTCATGTCCTCCGTGGGGGTGGGAGCGCTGATACCTGTCCGAGTGCAACATCATCGCTGTGTTTACACCCGACATTAGCATCTTTAGCTCCATTAAACACGTCTTACCTTCAGCGGCCTCCATATTTCTGTCTGTTATCTCCACTGCAGACCCAAAACGTTTATGGTAAATTATTAAGTCACATAAAAAAGAATAAACCAGGCATTTTACCGGATATGTACAGAAAAACAACCAACAGCGAGCACGAAGCGTCGCAGACTGATGCTCCAGTCGATCTCGCGATACTTCTGAAATGCCGCGTTGTTTGAAGTCGAAGATCGTCTATGGGCTTGTTCGAGTTGAGCAGCACCTCACCAGGAAAATAGACGAGAGCAGACTGACGCAGCAGGGGAAGTGGCTGAAAGCCGGCATTTAAGCCAAACAGATTTTCCTACATGTGTAGCTCGCGGTTGATGACGGATGAAGATATCGCGTTAGAGTTCATATAATTTTTCATTTTAATTCTGGTGCCTGTTAGCAACCGAAACACATCCTCATGTGCTTGCAGGGCCAGATTAACACTTTGTTGTACCCTGGGCAACAACATTCAAGGACCCCATCATCACGACCCAAGGACCACCATGAAATGGTCACATACAGAATATTTTACTGTAATATGCAGTAAATATACTCAATACTTGAATGCCTGACATCATGTAACCCGCTCAAGGTAACCTTTGGCCCTCTCTTCATTGGTCAGTCTGCATGGGGGGGGGGGGGGGGGGGGGTCATTTTGCCTTGGCCCCCAAAATGTCTTGAAACGGCCCTGGGTGTGTGATTGAGTTTTGAATGTGATCTGAATTGTATCAAATGTATAAATATTACATGTGTGTAACTTATTGTTTTATACAAGTAAAAACATGTAGTGGAGATAAATCTACCTACATTTTACTTAGTTTTCTTGTTTTTATTTAACTATTTCCTGTCTTGTCTGTCTCTCATCTTCCTGCATCTCCTCTAAACTCTCCAGAAAAACTGCTGCCTGGATTCTTACTTTTTCACCTCATCAGTTACTTTTGAGCAGATCAAAGGGATCTCCTGACCGCAAAGCGGAGTGCGCGATTCGATGCTGCTTCAGTGAGGTAAAATCACCACAGCACACGATGAGCTCCGCAGTGGCAGAGCGCTTCAGGCACAAATAAGACAGAAAGTAGAGAACATGTGCAGACATGAATGATCGTGTGTTAATTATAGTTTTTGGGTTGCGCCACTTTGAGAATGGACCGTGCGCTGGACGCAGCAGCCTGGAGCGCTGAACACCAACGATCATCGCTATATGTGCTCTCTGCTCAAAAGAGTCCATAAATGATGTAATATAGGTGGAAAACGTTTTATCCGGCTCCCCTGGATGTGTAGGATATCCAGCTCCCCCATAATTTGATCCCTGCTCCTGGATGAAAAACCGGACATTTTCATCAATACAAGAACCCCCCGGACGCCCGGACAGAGAGTGAAAAGTGGACATATCAGGGGAAAAGAGGACGTATGGTCACCCTAGTTTAATATAAAGCGGGAGATTACAGATACAGTATTTTACTCGTGCTCTTGCTGCCCTGGGCTGGGCCCTTTAGATTTCGTGGGCCCCTGGGCAATTGCCCAGTTGCCCATATGGTTAATCCGGCCTTGCGTGCTTGTGGATAATATAATGCATATGGAGACATGACTGTAATAATATGTAAAGGTTATCAGCTGTAGCTTGTGCTCATAGGAAACGTGACAAATAACACAAAACACATTTCTCTTTATGGCCTATATAGTTGTCATCATCAACGTAACATGATTTACAGAATGCATGTGACCAACTAACATTTTGCATTCTACCACCAGATGTTTGGATCAAAATGTGAACCAATCAGATCTTAGATCAGGTGAAAGCCAGGCGTTTCCCGTCATGCCCTAAATTTTGCAGCCGGTGGAGAGCAACTGCAACGCCTTGCTCCAAAATCTGCGGCCGCCTTGATCTCACGAGGGTATCGTTGCCTACGTGTGCATGATGTCAGAGCAAGTCGGCGTTAAGTCAGGCACAAATCTAACCAGCATGCACTGCGCGCCGATCAGCGGTGATCTAATCTGCGCAGAACTGGCTCATCTTGAACAAGCTCTATGTCATTAAAAGGGCGTAGAAGTCGTGTTTAAAATTATGAAATTATCTGAGAAACTCAATCCAACTGAACAGGATTGAAGAAATACCCAACAGTACAATTGGAGCTTGATACAATATATGAAGATAAAGCCACAAGAGCTCTTCTAAGATCCAGAAGGAAGTGGTTGGAGAGAAAATAAACTTTGAACAATCATCCATTGATAAAATCACAATCACTAATCTGATTTGTTAGAATGAAAATCTTAGTTTGAAAATGTGACCAAGAATTGAATGCAGCTGAGCTGATCCAGAAAATGAAGATAATATGGACTAATTTCTAATGGGACCGAAAGATGATGCTAACACCATAAAAATTACCTCAAGACAACTGGTGAGACATCTGTTACAGTAACTCTACTGGTCCTCCTAAGAGTAATAAATACCCAGGAAATGATGGCTTAGGTCAATTCTACAAATATCTTTACAAAAATAAATAACACCTTTTTCAAAGACCAAGTTTAAAGAATCAAACAAGAAAGATGAACTTCCTTAATCCTTTATCAAGAATTAATTAAATTAAAGAAAATAAAGCCACGTCTCAAGAAAGGCCACATTAAAGCTGATGCGAGCTTTGCCAGAATGCACCTAGAAGATCCTGATGCCAAATGGAGAAAAGTCTGATGGTCAGATGGGACCAAAATTGAACCATTTGGTCTCAGTGCATCAAACAGTACACATGGTGTAAATCCACCGTCCACAACACACCATAACTACAGTAAAGCATGGAGGTGGCAGCATCCTGGTGTGGGGGTGTGCCTCTGCCCCATCCAATTGGACACAACTTCAAAGGTTCTGTACAACATTGATAGAGAAGTATCCCGACAGACTCAAGGCTGTCATTAAAAGAAAACAGTAGTTAAAAATATATATTGTAGGGGAGGATCCTTCAGTAATCTCAGCAATTCTTTTCTTTTTTATATATATATATTTTTTTTCTGAATTAATTGTGATTTCTCGGGTTTCTCAGGTGGATGGTGCCCTGGACAAGTAAAGCTGGTAAAAAATATGAAATTTGTGTTTTGATTTAAGGATGTAAAGGAAACAAAGTTAAAGTCTTTCAAAGGGCCTGATTCTTTTGTTTACCATCTGAGCGGAAGAGAAGGTTTCCACACACCTCCAGCTTGTTTTGGTTTCAGTGGCAATGTTGGTTTTGTAATTATTTATTCAGGACAAAGTACTTTTTAAATTTCAACTGTGAACGTTGAAAAAGGATGATGTTCTGGTATCTTCTGGCATTCTGCACTTTGACGTCGACCACACCAATCATCGTTTAAGGTGGCCTTGCTGTTTCTTCGGGTTCTGATGGAGACAAACAGACTTCATTTCGACATAAAGTTTCATTTATTTATAAAGATGTTCTACTTTCTCTCCACCAGGTGAAAGCATAGAGTCACTTCTTATCTAGAAAGCAAAGACTACATTTATTCTTCTCAGATGTTCTTCAATTAAGCTTTAACCTATTTATGCATGTTGATGGCTTTAACGAACAACAATAGCCATGCGAAGCAGGACATTTATGTAAAAGCACCAAAAACAGCAGAAATTCTCAGGAAAAACACAAAAGTACAAAATCACAACGTTTCAACACATATGGAATGATTTAAAAGTACAGAAGAGAAAACCAACAATCTCTTTGATGTTTTCTATGAAAACAAATAAGAGCTTAAAGTACGGAAACCCAAATAGTCTAAAATGACAAAGTTCTCGAAGACAAATCATATTTATCAGGTTTTAAACCTTTGAATTAGCTGCATTAATGTTCATCGTGACAATAAATAAATGTACTATTCTCAACAAAAATGAGACAAATTAAAGCAGAAATTCTAACTTGTGCACCAAAAAATAGTTTAAAAAAATGTTCAATGTTTATTTTTCATTTTGTTTTTGCAGCTATTTATTCAAACAAATTATCATAATTTACTTTATACAATTTTAATTTCTTAAATATTTTTTGCTGTTCTTTAACAGATTCAGTTTTAACTAAATGAAAATGTTTTTCTAAACTTTCAAGACTTTGTGTTTATTTTACTTTTTAACATGTAAAAATAAAATAATAATTTTAACCTCCATAAAAGCTGCGAGCTTCCATCAACTCTCTTATACGTTTCATTATTCAGGAGGAGGATACGTTTAGGGATGGTTAAAGTGATTTAAATGTGAATAATTTAACTTTTAATTCAAATTTGGGTCTAAACATGATCAAAATGTCGTTCACAACTACATTTTATACAAACACAAAAATATTTAAATCTAATTAAAGTAAATATTTGGAAACAGAGCTACCGTGCAACATAACGTTAGAGAGATATCACATTAGGATTGTTTTATTGTAACAATATCATTTTCACCTTTGAAGATTATTTTTTCTTTGTGAAATTGTGATAAATTTTTATATTGTAAAAACATTATATTACATTATGATAATGTGAAAAATATTGTTGGAACAATACAATTATGTTACGACATAATATCACTCTATTTTTATTTGGGGTGGGGGAGGGGCAGCTCTGCATTTCTGTATAAAATAATTTAGGATCTGGAGTTAACTATTTACAATAAATAGAATAAAAGTCAGTAAAGTTTGGGTCATTTGATAGGATGGAGGTTTCTCACTAACTCTGATAAAAATACAAACTTTAGAACCATTAGTGATTGTTTAGTTTCCTCCAGTTAATTTATGAGTCAACTCCCTAAAGCTGATCTGGTTTGTTGGTTTAAAATAAAAGAAACATTTTTGTTTTGAACTAAATGGTCAAAAGGGTTTTTATAATATCACCTGAAAACACAATTTTATCATCCAGTTAAGTGTTTCAAAAAGAGAATTTAACAAAAATGAAAACATAAAAATGTTCACTTCTGGATGGATGAAAGTGTTAACTTCAGTTAAACATCTGATAACAGCTGGTTGGTCCATTAGCCTTAGTGACGAGGAAGCGGCTGCATCTGCAGGGAGTCGTAGGTGTCTCTGGTGGCCGAACTCAGACCCTGAGGAATCGATGAGCTAATCAGTTAACCAGTCAAATGGTTTAAGACTCTACCAGCAACTAGTTAAGAGGGCTTTACCTGGTAAACTTGCTCTCCCTTCTTCGGACGCTGTGGAAACATCGACATTTATTAAAAATAACAGAAACAAAGAGGATTCGTCCTCAGCAGGACTTCAGACGCTTATTGAGAAGGTTCCTAGGGAACCTTCTCAATAAGCTAAAGGAGAAGGTTGTGAGTGCGCTCAGCTGGTCCTGAGTCCTGTCCGGTTCAGCTCAGTCAGTAAATACTGGGTTCTTATTGGCTGAAAGTTTTTAAAATACAATAAATGAATTAGTAATCATTGATAGGAGCCTTAAACGTTCACTCACCTCTCGTTTAACTGGAAGTTCTCGGTAGGCTCCTTCAGAACGTTTCTGAAGATCCTGAGGAAACAAGAACAAAGGCTGGGATGTGTTGAGGATGTTTAGCTCCTGCTGGAGTGAAGTTTCAGACTAAACCTTACCGTGTAGGTGGAGTCATCCATCACCCTACGGTTCTGTTAGAGAGAACATACAGAACCCCTCTTTAGCTTCAGTCCTCTGCTTACACGTAATAAGACAAGAGTCCAAAGAGGAGCTGATCTATTAGAACTTCTAAATTCTAGAGAACATTCTCCAGCAGTGTTGTCAGCCTCCTGACTCCAAAAGCGTTTAAACTGTTTCATCTTTTTATGTCTAAAATGAAACAGAAGAATCAAAGTTCTGCTCTACGGCAGCTCTCAGTTCTACCCAAATAATCATGACAAGAATGTTCTAATGGCCTTCAGGGTGCAGAACCCAGGTCTGTTGGCCTTAGAAATGTTCTTCTGGGTTTTGGTTCCAGATTACCTCAATGACTCTGAAAAATCTGACAATGGATGAAGATAAACTTACTCTTCCTCTCTCTGCATCCATATTCAGCAGGTCATAACCTCCATCAGCACCCTGACCCCTCAGGTCCTTAAGAAAGGAACAGGTTATCATCATTGTAACGTGAGGAAATATGGGTTTTCTGTCACAATGGTGGTGTTGGACTCAGCTGTGTCAAAGCTGGGTCGCTGAGAACTTTCACCCACAGATTAAGACCTGAACGCCAGCGAGTCTGGGAGGAAACCATAACATCTGCCACCTGCAGTCTACCAGAAGATGTGTTTACATGAGTTGTACCCAGACCAAGTCAAAACATAAAGTTTAAACTTCTTTTTCTTGATTTTAATGTTAAAGTAACCATTATCATTTTGCTCATTATAAATGTGATTAATCAAATGAATGACTTATGCTTTGGGGTAATTATAATGGTTTAATGAATCCATTCTTAAATAATGTTGAGAATGTTTGTTACTGACCTTCACACACACTCAAGCACAAACATTCACACACATCCACACACACCTGCTCACAGTAAACTCCAGACACATTTGATGACGCACGTTTGCTTTGAGAAGAGAAAGGTTTTTGGTAAGTTTTCAGTCTTTTGATTCAGTTCGTGTTGGACAACGAGAGAGAACAGACCTGAAAACCAAAGGGGGGGCAGAGCCTGTTGGCTCGTTCTTCCCCCCTTTCACGCTGTTTCTGCCACGCCAGGCAGAATAGCTGAATCGCAACTTCTAACGCAGACTCATTACCGAGTCTTTTGATTTCTGAGTGAATTAACTTAAGAAAGCGCGTCGACAAAACGCTTTACCATCAACGTGTACCGAGGACAACTCTGGACCGGGTCGCAGCGCATCTTTGTCTTCTCTGCCAGCCAAGGTGCCCTGGATGAAACATCCTAAGGTGACGCCCCGGATCCGAAAGAGGGTCCAAAAGAATTCGGTGAGACAGAACACGGTGTTTAGCGTTTTGATGCATCTTTTCCAACTAAGAGCCTAAGTTTATTCAAACCATCACTTTTCACTCAGACACCTGGTTCTTCCTGAAGCAAAATCAGATGCACTCACGCACCCATCCCAGCTCATATCACTCTCACCATCACAACATTCTCAATCTTCATAAATTCATCAGAAGGTCTATTTGAGCCAGAACAGCATATCAACTGTTAAAGAGATTGTCCCACAAAGTGACTAATGTTGATTGTATTTCCTGTTTGTCAATTTCAAAATCATTAGTTTAATTTGAAGAATTAAAACTTTTAAACGTCAAACTGGTTTCCTCATTGAACTGAAACACAGACACTCAGATATTATCGGCAGTTTATGGATGAAAACAACCTTTGAGTCTTCTGAACAATATAAAATTTGGTTATTGATTTATTAAAATTAATATTCCGAATTAATACGTAGCATGGTTTCTCTTTCATAAAAGAGCATAAATCCATAACGCTACATTATCATCATCACCATCATCATCATCAGCAGCAGCAGCAGCAGCACCACCACCACCACTATCATTATCACCATCACTACCATCACCATCATTATCATCACCATCATCAGCAGCACCACCACCATCATCACTGTCACTACCATCATCATCATCAACACCATCATCAACACCATCATCATCATCATCATTATGACTGTCACTATCATCACCAGCATTATGACTGTCACTACCATCATCATCATCACCACCACCATCATCATCATCACCACCATCATCATCATTTACTGTCATGTGACTTACAGAGTAGAGGCTCTCCTCCTTCACCTTCACCTTGGTTCTGAAAAACTGAAGAACAAGAGAGAACGTCTGTATTCTAGATGCTGTTCAACCATCCAAAGTCAGAAATGTCCTTGAAAAACTTGATTCACAAATCTGTAGTGAAAGCCAAGTCCTAAAAGAAGATCATGGTCCAGTCGCCAGTGTCACGTTTTGTGTCTTCGTCTCCTGTGTGCCTTCATGGTTCCCCTCCTTGTTTTGTCTTTCACTTTGATTAGGTATTCTTAAATCTCCTGCCTTTCCATCTATTTACTTCTGTAACTCTTTCAGGGTATCACCCAGTGCTTTGCTGCCCACCGGCCAGGCGAAGCATCAAATAGCAGTATAAATAATTAAGGATAAAAATATTGTAACAACGCCACCCTGGGTTAACCCCCCAGAGAAGGGTAGAAGGCCCGTAGGTTAAAAAAAAATCACAAATGGGAACAGATGATATATTTCCGTTAAAACAAATCTTTATTAAAATATCTAGGCTAAAAACATACGGGTTGAGTTAAGCGCTCGGAGTTCAGTTATCATCAGTTTGTTCACAGGAAGTAACCACATTGGCCTAGGGCCAACAAACACGAAATGAAATTGAGCCGACAAAAATTAAACACACAAAACACACCAACTAAATAAAACAGATGAAAAAAATAGTAAAAAAAATCGGGATACTTCCTTTCAACCCGATGGGCGTTCTGGTGGTTGCCCCGGCAACCAGGCGTCCAACGCCCAACAACTAATCAACCTCACTCAATGTAGACAAGACAAATCCATATGGACAGAACAGCAGTGAGGAGTCGTCTGGGCCCACAACCGGCCCTGGAGATGAGATTGGTCACGGCGGGATGGCGAGATGGAGCAGCAGGAGGGCCAGTGCACCGCCGACGCTGTCAAACGCTCCGCTACTCTGGGTGGCACCGCTGCGGGCAAAGCTGAATAGAATAGCGGCTCTCGGCACACAGACGGGCAGCCACACTGCAAACTGGCATGGTCCCCCTGTATCAATACAACCCTCCCCAATCAGAGGCAAAGACTTACGGTCGTAGCACGGCTGAGTCAGATCAGCCTTAATACGGCTGCCACACACACACACGGGCAGAGATCTGATCAGGAGCACCTGGGTGCAGTTTGACGCTGCAACAGCATATGCAGCTCCAGTCTGCGATCACACGATGCCAGACACATTAAGATGGAGCAACGAGCATTAGCTAATGCCGCACAAGCAACACAGGAGGGAGACTACTTACAATCGTTGCTTGTAGTTGGAGTCTCAACACACACTAGCACCTGAGGTGTCACACAAGAGCTGGAGGAGCAGACAGCTGCCTTTCCGTCTAATGCGAGCCACCTGCCTCTTTACTTTTGCATCGTCGCCCCAACGATGTACCATGGCAAACCCCATATGTCAAACACCACGGTCAGAAAATTACCGTCCGCGCATTTTCTGCTGGCTGCTGAGCACCCAAGCAACGACCCCTCCATCTGTCCCACGACAAGCGGAGGTGCTTTACACTACGGCACGTGGGGAAAACATGCCAGCCCATCCCTCTGTCGGGAAGTGGGCACAGTTTGTAACAGGCGGGATCCAACTCGGGACACCGGCCCTAAAATATAATCTTTCAAATGGTTAACACTCTCACCGGGTCACTCCTCTCTGCACCTGTGCGATATTTTATTTTCTCCCTCGCTTCCCCCTCTAGATGGTCAGAGTAAACGGCTTGGTCAGCCGGTAGCAAATTACGAACCGCATGTATGCTTGGACCTCTCCTTCTCACTCGGAGAACAAAAAGTACCTGTTTTGCAATTAAGCCTGGGGCATCGCCGCTCCCTGGGGACCACTACCAGCTGCTCGGCAACAGCATGATCAAGTGTAGGACCACCAGATGTGGAGCCAAAGGGCTCCACACCAGAACCGCCACCACCGACAACCAGCCTTGCATTCTCCAGCGTCAGCTGGCCCACCAAATCTCTCAACTGCTGCACCACGCCGTCCATATCCACCTAAATTTAGACTGGACAAGATTCCTTAGAGCAAGGAGAGAGGAAAAAAACGTATTAGGCAACACAAAGGTTGATGACCACACTGCTGTTCTGTCCACAACAACCAGTCTCCCCCCAAAGCCAATGTTCAGGGGAAGGGAATAAAAACAATAAAATCGCATCTGTTCCCGGATGTGATCCCGCCAACAACGCCAAATGTGGCAAGTATGGGTGCATGGATGTGACGTTTGTGGCACCCTGCACGGAAGCACGAGAACGTGCTCGTGGAAAGAGGGGGGAAGATGTGGAAGAGTGAGCGTCCTGTCACAGTGTCCCGATTGATCATGTGCCCTGGCTACTTTACCAAGGGGGTGTCCCTTTGGCTGACTGGTAAGCGCGCGTGACTCTCACCCGGGATTCTGGGGATCGAATCCTGCCCAGGCCCTCGTTTCTCCACCTTGACACATACTGTTTAGTGTTTGGAGTTCCAGTGTCCCGATTTGCCTCCTGTGAGTGTTTTTTGCTTTTTGAGTCTGCCCCAGTGTTCGTTTCCTGAACCTGTGGATGTCCGTCATCATTCCTAAATAAAGGATTTTGTTTTAGTCCAAACATCATCTCTCTGTGTCGTTCTGCGTTCCTGCATATTAGGTCCAACTAACCGTAACACCCAGTTTTCAGTCCAGTGTCCAATCCAATCCCCAACCCTGGATCTGGTCTAAATGAAGGACCTGGACCAGGACTTACCTTCTCCTTGATGAACATGCCGGTAACAATGAGACCGTAGAGTCCCAGGAACCCGTCCAGGATGTAACACAGGCGAGGGTCCGAAATGTTCATGGCCTCTGTTCAGGGTGGGGTGAGAGGAAAGAGAGGGTTTAAACCAGCTGTTTGTGCGTGTGTGTGGTTATTCTTCTGATAAAAACACGAGTTTCTTATGAGTCCCCACGCCTGTAATAATAATAATAACATTAAATAATAACAACAACAATAACAATAACTGCTGCTCGAAACAAATTGAATAAACATTTCAATAAAACTGAATAAACTGATGATTTTATCTGTACTTAACAGAAATTTCAGAAGTTCTTTATCTGTTCATTAAAAACACGACTTCCTGCTTTCAAGCGTATTTCTGACCACAGAGCTGAGCTTATCGCTGAGAAGGAACACACACATCTGCACGAGTCTGAACATCTGGCCACACAAGACATGCACCCTAGATGAAGTCTCTCTCTCTCTCTCTCACACACACACACACACGCACGCACGCACGCACACACACACACACATGCACGCAAGCACAATGTCATAGCTGATTTTCTATGAAACCAGAACATTTGAGTTAGCAGCTGCTTCAAATTATTGTTGTTATTATTATTATTGTTGTTGTTGATATTAATAACCATGTGTCTTGACCGAATAAAATTATATTTTTTTCATAACTTTAAAATATAGAAACAAAACTCAACAATGTTAAAGAGTTAATATGAAAACAATCAACCTAACAAACTCAGAACTATTTGGAATAAAATCCAGCCTTTAGTTTGATAGGAAATATTAATTAAAACTTGTTATTAATGGTTTTCTTGTTTTCGCTCCTACCCCGTTGGTTTTACGCTTGCTTGAAAAACGCTGTGTCTGCTATCTTGGTATTTTATTTTTATTGAGACTTTCTATGAATGACCCACTAAGAAACGACATGGTTCATCTGACGTGGCTGATCCTCCAAAAACATAAGTATAAATGAATGAACTAATATTAACATTAACCTAAGAGAGAATATTTAATAAAGGTAAAATATTTCTGTTCAGGTTTTTAAAATAATTAAAATAAGAAAAACAAAGTGGAAAGAACTGTTTGGATATTTAGCAGAAAGCTTTAATCCAAACGGGTGAGTTTAGATAGTTTAGAGATTGACCCACTAATGAGTGTGTGTGTGTGTGTGTGTGTGGGGGGGGGGGGGGGGGGTGTCTATGAGCTGTTACTTAATGAAGTGTTAATTAACAGCTAGTTTAATATAGTTTAATAGCTAAAATAAAGTAGATTTTTTACATACATTTTAGAGCTTATGTGCTTATGAACCCAAACAAAGCCCAGGTTAATTAATCCAGATTAAAATAAAAGGTCACTTGTTTAAAAACTGACACATTTAAATGGATCCAGCCTGACTGACGCATATAAACACATTCTCCTCCAGTGGAGACAGAACCCAGACAGACGCAATTCTCTCTGGTTTTCCATTCAGACTCAGTCATCTGATCAAAACATGATTCATCAATAATTTATTCAAAGCTGTTTTACAGTAAAAGCTTCAGCAAAGTTTCCATCACAACAGAGATATCCGACTCTCCAGAAGGTTTCTGAATGCATCACATTTCATGTATTTAAACAGCTATAATTAGAGATCCATCAGAACCTGACAGCGTAGGTTACGGTTAATGTTGGTTTAGACTTATTGTTCACCGTAAAAAGAGGATTTTATTTCATTTCATTGTTTCTGAAGAGGTTTAAACTAAATGGCAAACCAGATCTTTAGAAGTTGGACTATACAACTCCAGTTTAATGTTCTGAATGATGAAAGGTGAGAATTCCTGATAAACAGCAGAATCACCACTCCACCAATCAAACTATAACTGCTTTGGTTCTGGAGTCCCACAGGGATGAGTACTCGGCCCACTTCTGTAAGGTTTTCAGATTATATATTCAGTTAAGGATTTATGTTAAAATTACAGAAGACACAGTTGCAGATGTTCTCCTGCTGACTTCCAAAGTGCTCTGAGGCATCTCAACACTGGTCCTACTTCAGACAGGTACAAGCTACAAGGTTTGGAGCAGGGGTCTGCACCCTGTGGCTCTGGAGCCACAAGAGGTTCTTTGGAAATTCCACAAAATCTCTTAACAACTTTCGCTAAAATTTATGAAAAACAAACCAAACTCATATTTTTAAATACAAGTATGAAAACCATATGCACGTTTAAGCAGCTTTTGAATATTTTTATTGGAATATTGTAATTTCCACAACAGAAAGACACAGATCTTTGGATCGTAGACGTTGCAGACCCCTGGTGCAGAAGACAAATGGTAAGGTCTGAACTGGATCAAAGGTTTAACATTTAGACTAGAAGATCTAAACGTCAGTCAGAAATCCAGCTTCAGTAGCAGCAGGTCACAACCAACCAACTATTGTTTTTCTGTTCTTATCTTATACACATATAGCACGGTTTTGGCTACAGTCGCCTTTGTCTGAGATTCACCGATGCTGATATTCAACATCCAACCAACCAACCAACCAACCAAGCGCCCAAGCTCTGACAAAGGCGACTGTAGGAAGCCAAAATTTTCAGCAAATAAGGTAAAAACCAGATACTTTGCTACTCTGTGAAAAAGATAATAATAATAATAATAATAATAATAATAATAATAATAATATTTTTTTAAAAACAATGGAACTGGAAAAGAAACGCTGAAAGAACAAAACAAGAACCAACCATCCATGCTTCCAATCAACCAGCAAGTCATACAACGAACTAACCAGCCATCCAACTGTAACTAGCAGCCATCTGACTTGATAAAATACATTTTTAAATCATCCAGAAGTATAAAAAATTAAAACTAAAATTTGTTTCTTCTGTATTTAAGGAGCATCTCACTGTTGGTCTGAACCGTCTGAACAGAACCAAAATAACCAGCTGATGAACGAACAGGTCTAGGCTCAGAAACCACAGAGCTGCTTCCTGAACGAGTGTGTGTGTGTGTGTGTGTGTGTGTGTGTGTGTGTGTGTGTGTGTGTGTGCGTGTGCGTGTGCGTGTGCGTGTGCGTGTGTGTGTGTGTGTGTGTGTGTGTGTGTGTGTGTGTGTTGGGGTGTTCATACTCTGTGGTTAATCAACCTTCTTCTGAGATCAGCTCCTTGACGCCTGTTGCAGCGACTGCTCACGCGGCTTCACCCGAACAGAAAACGGGCCTGAACCACAGTTTGAACCACCTGCTGACGTTTAAGGTCCACAGCTTGACTTAAGGTTGATCCAAGGGTGTTTCCTCATCATTCCTTTATGTGATGAACCATCAAGTTGTTCTCACATTTTTTTCTAAACAAAACTGAAGGTTTCGCTCCTGATGGCTACGACCATCTGATTCGTACTGAACCATCAGCTGTTTGCTTTTCATTTAATAAGAGTTTAATAAAACAAACAGAAGTTTTCTGTCTTCTGTTCGAGTTTAACGACAAAAGCAGAAATGAGTTTAACAAGCCGAGAGGCGGCGACGAGGAAACGCTGAAGCCACAAGCTTCAAAAACAGAAACGATGCGAAGATACGGAACTGAAGAACATGCAGAACGTTTTTAACCAAAAACTGCTTCTGGACCTTGAGCCAATTAAAGTTCAGGACATCAGCCGAATAAACTCAATAAGTGTTTAGTTTGATTCTCTGTAAAAATCAGCTTCCGTGTGTTTGATGGTGCTGTTGAGTTGTCCATGTTCACCTTCACGAGAAAACCCAGAACTGGTCCTAAACTCCAAACACGTTAACGTCTGAACTGGTTCTACTCACTCACGTTTGTTTAACTAGTTAAAGTCACGAAAGCTCTTTTGCTCTGACTACATGGTAAATGGCTTGTATTTGACATGGTGTCTTATGGGTTCGATAACTCTCAAGGCGCTTTGCAAAACAACCATCATTCATCAACTCACACACATTCATACACTTTAAAAAATATAGCCACAGCGGCCCCGGGGCACATGAACTGGAGTCAGACTATTTTAATGTTTTAATTAATTTATTTATTTATTTGAATAAACTAAGATGAACGAGACTCGCCTCTGTCAAAGCAGCTGTGGCTGCATGGTAGCTCAGCCTTCTTCTTTCGGCTCTTGGAGGGTGCAGACGCTTTTTTTTCTCCTCTCCTCCATATCTTATCCTCAAGGCCTTTGTCTGTCTCTGTGTGCTGGGTGCACGGCTGCTTCTGCATTTTTCTGGAAACTGGATACTGAAATTCACTTAAATGGATCTCGTCAGCTGGTCTCTCAACGCGATTGATGAAATTTTTCCAACAATGAGAACGGGAGAAGGGGCTTCCGGATGCCCCGCCGGGACAGACCCAGTTGGACACATCATGGACTCCTGGAAACAGGGGAACTTAGTCTGTCTATCTCAGCTGTCTGTGGAGGACTCTGAAGACGTGTGGATATTTGTGGTGTTGGTGTCAGGTTTCCTGCTCATTGGCCTTGGAGGCTACCTGGCTTACCGGAAATTTAACGAGCTGTCAAGGAATATTGGCCTGATCTGGGAGCTCAGAGATGGATTGCACCACACTGTGAATTCACTAACTCAAATAATTGTCGAGATGAATCGTAAGCTTGGGACTTTGGCGGAGATTCATTCTTTGGCACAAAAGATGGATGCCATCAAGGAGAGAGTGGACGAATCAGCACGGATTGGGATAGATTAATGCCCATTATTGGGATTCTGAGAGGTTGAGGACCAACAGACTGTAAGACAGAGAGGAAATGATCTCTGTCTGGCCCCAGAACAATTTCTAATCGGAATCTGGCGCCCTTGAGCCAGCAAGACTCCAACGAAAACTCCCCCCTCAGAAGATATGTGGAATGTGCCGTTGCTATGGCAACTCAACTCTGTCTCCTTTCCCAGCCTGGGCGGGACAGCGGGAAGGCCGCTGAAACGTTCCAGGGTCACTGCAACCCTCCAACCCTCAATGCTCCTCCCCCTATCCACGCTGAGGTAACATGCGCTGCTTATCGTGGCTGCAGGAACTGAAGTAGGGATAGTCCCAACCCACCACCCCACCTAGTGGACACCTATGTTGTGTTGTCTGAAGTCTGTTGCATATATGTTTGAGGTGTTTTTTAGCAGAGCAAAGCTGCCCTACTGGTGGGAGGGTAACTTTGAAGTGCCTTTTTTCCCTCCACCTGAACCAATCCTAATGTTACCCTCTTATCTCTATTAAGGTAGTGCGACTCAGGGTTGTGAATGACCACAGTCACCAATTCTTGTCATGTGTCTTGCCCATTTATGTCTGATCTCTGAATTGTGTGTACTGAAACTCTAATTTCCCTCTGGAATTAATAAAGTATCTTTGATTTGATTGATTGATCCCCACCAGTGTGTGGATGCGTGCGTGAATGGGTGAATGACTGACTGTGTTGTAAAGCGCCTTGGGGGATTGGGGAACCCTAAAAAGGCGCTATACAAATACAAGCCATTCACCATTAAAACGGGTTCATTATTGTTATTCACTTAACATTTATAATTAAATGTGATCAGTTGAAACAAGTTCTGGTGGTCGATATTTGTTTTCTGTCAGATACGACTATTTGTTTTTACAGTGTATGTTATTTATAATTAACTGATTTAATTAAATTTGAACAATTTAAAGGTATTTACCTTTAAGCAGAGATGGGTACAGCGGCCAGAGACCGTACTCTAGTGAGAGTGGCATTACCTTGACGTATTTTTAATCAAGTAGAAGTAAAAAGTACCGGTTCTCCACAAAAAGACTGAAGTTGAAGTAAAAAGGATTTGGTAAAAATGCAACTCAAATACTGAATAATGTTTTGAGCTGATTTAATTTGTTAAAGTGATATGATTAGATGGATAAAACTATAAAGTTACCTGCAAATCCTTGTATTTAAAGTTATTACATTACATCATAAAAAAACTAATGAAGGCAGAAAAAAAGGTCCTTCCAGCAGGTCATGTATACACATAACAGGTTCATTTACTGTGGACTGACTGACCTTCAGCAGGTCCAGCAGATTTAACCCAGACTACTCAAGAGTTGAGATACTTCCTAATAATATTACTCAGGTTAAAGTAACTAGCTATGTTAAAGTAACGAAAGATTGTAGTCATGTTAGCATCAAACCTCAGTGTGTACTCAGTACCTGGTAAACGGGTCGCGGACAGTCTCCATCTTCCAGAGTTTGTGTCTCTCCGGTCAATTAGTCAAATAAAACAAAATTAGCACTAGCTAACACGCAGTCTGTCAAGAACGTTAGCAGAGGTTTAGCTCAGGATGTGGAGCGGGTTGACCAGTGATCGGAGGATCGTGGGATCAATCCCAGCTCTCACCAGGGTACTCTGCTGTTGTGCCTTTGAGCAAGACACTTCATCCATCTTGCCTATGTTGGTGGTGGTCAGAGGGGCTGATGGTACGAATTAGCAGCCTTGCCTCTGTCAGACCGCCTCAGGGCGGCTGTAGCTACATGGTAGCTTACCATCACCGGCAGGGTGTGAGTGTATGGATATTATTTTTTCACCAAATTAGCATAATAAATATTTAGCCACCAGTTTCCTGTAGTCTTACTGATCTAAAAGACACAACATTACAGCTCTGCAGAGAATATAAATGGAAAATGTATGTACATGAAAATAAAATGTTCTTTTCCACAATTTTATTGGTTTGTTTTAATGTTTTGCTCATAATTTATTAACATTGTGGTTTTTTACACGGTAAAAGTGATCACAGCCTCCATTCTGCCTCGGAAGGATTCGATCTGCCTCATTTACTTTGTTTCTTTCCATACGTCACCAATGAAATAACTTTGGGTGGTAAAATTAGGTGCTAAGAGGTCAATAATCCAAATATTACTTATTATATTAATATGTAGAAAACATGGTCAGTAGATACTTGGTTCATGCCATCCCCACCCCCACCAACAAACGACCCGCTTTTCTCTTTGATGTTATCAGCGTTAAAACTTATTTTAAGAACTTGTTATTTTTTAACTTTATTTATTTATCTAAGAAGCAAATGTGATCAGATCTTAGTTTTTAATGTTTTTTAAATCTGAAAAACAGCTGATGATTTTGTGTGAACAGACTGTAGAAGGCAGGTGCTCAGCATGGTTTGGTGCCGTCCCGGGCCTAGGACCAGGGACCTGCCCGGGACCAGGAGGGCATCGTTGAGGTAACAGATCTGTTAGATGGTTGAGTCCTACCTGCTGAGGGAAGCACCGAAGTGAGGACCAGCAAGCCCCAGACCCAAGTCCGCAGCTCCATCTCACAGCAGCTCGTCTCCGTCAGACCTGGTGGAGAAGAAGCAGCAGCGCCTCTTCCTCTGAAGTTTGGCCCCGAAAGTGAACAGGAAGTGGTGAGAGGCTGCTGCCAGGTGCCGCTCCGCGACACACTTTATAGAAACGCTCTCCCACACACCAGCACGCACTGAACACGCACGGAAAAACACGTTGAGCTCACGGGCCTGGCTGGCATCGAAGACTTTGATGTTCTTATTGGTTCTAAGATCTCAGAAGGACCTTTATCTGACTTTAGTTCTTCTGCTACACAAACTCAGAGTTTCTGCATCAGTTCCACAACGATCTAACACAACTACATTCTGTAAACAAACAAACAAACAAACAAACAGGGTCATTGACCCCTGCGGAAATCTAATTGGCCCCCGAAGTGCCCCTGTCCCACTCATCTGTACCTTTGCGTAATGATTGAATTATAGGTGGGCGCAATTCCAAATCTAAACACTAGCACTGGAATTTCTCAAATCCTGTTTGTGTTTGTATTTTGTTTAAAGTAAAATGCATCCAAAACTACATTAGGGTGTTTCCACACAGTGTGGGTGGGGAACCTTACACTGGGGACGGCATGTAAGGGTGTTCTTGGCCCCTCTATAAAAGATGGGACCCATTGATGGCCCCATAGTCAGAAAATCCTAGATCCGCCACTGGTATAAATACATCGTTTTCCAGAACTCCCTGTTTGTGAAATTGTGATGCTTCATGGCTTAGAGATCTCCACATCAAATTTAAGCAGAAATTCCATCAGTTAACAAGATCATTGCTTTTAGCATTTAGCTTCAAAGCTAGCTCTGAAGCTGATCGCTAAACAAAATGAAGCTAAAGAAACTCCTACTGGAGCTTACGTAAGTGAACCAACTGTGTCTGCAACACAATGGAAACTATGCAAGTAATATTTCTGATGAGATGCTTCTTTACTTTCTTTACTGAAAAGAAGTTAAATAAAAAGTAAGTTATATATTTTCTAAGCCTGCCCCGATACCATAGAGTCCCGTGCAATTACAGTTGAGCATTTTTCAGCTTTGTGCAATAATTTGAGACACCCACACCTACGATGTCAATCACTAGCGGGCGCGTTTGCAGAAGTACACAGACAGTTGCAGAGTTAACTCTTATATGACCTTAGTGCATTTTTTGTGCTCAAAGGACAAAAACTTTCGAAAATTAAAGGGTTATATAAGGGTTAAGGCACAACGTGACAATAGTGATTATTAAACAATGTGTTGTAGCTCTGTTGGCCAGAGGTGTTCCTTCCAGGTATAATTACAGAAGTAGGGGGAGGGGCTTAAGGCGGTATGTCTAGATTAGCCGACAACACCTCCCAGATTTCTGGTTTAAGGGAGAAGTTGGCGAATATCTCTGTTTTTACTTTAAACACAGAGACAATCTGTTTTTGCTTTTTGTTATTGTTGGCTGTAAACATGGACGTAATTTTCATTTTAGAAGTGGGGGGTACACCGGGGGGGGGGGGGGGGTGTCTTTACAGTATGCTCTAATGGGAAACAGGCTTCAACACAAACAGTTGTTTTCTGCTTGGTCCTAGAGCTCAACCAGTATCAATTTAATATAGCGTAATATTGTTTTGGGATAGTAAAAAGTGCAGGGGTCAAAACTTGACTTTGGAAAAAGTGAGGGGGACATGTCCCCCTGTCTCCCCCCAAAATTACGTCCATGGCTGTAAATGATCAATACCTCTTTGGATATCAGTCCTTGTTTTATAGTTTTTCAATAGAACCTTTCTAGTGGCTTTAAAATAAATCTAACCTAATAAATCTAATAAGTCAGCCCGTCTCGACCCAAATATGTCGCCAGATTTCAGTTTCTTTACAGTTGGCTTAACTCCTCGATTGTTTTATTGGAATCGCTAAGTGCTTTAAAGCCGAATTAATCTTTGGGGTTTCTGTTTGATCAGAAAACCACCGGTTTGGTATGATTTAAAATAAAATTCACCTGTGTGAATGTCGATGCTTTTAAAAAAAAAGAGGCTCAAGACCTTTCTTTTTAGCTTGGCTTTCAATTGATCTTCTGACATATAAGGTTTATCACAGCAGAGGGCATGGACGTAATTTGGGGGGGGGGGGGGGACATGTGCCCCCCACTTTTTCCAAAGTCAAGTTTTGACCCCTGCACTTTTTACCATCCAAAAACAATATTACTTTAAATTAAATTGACACTGGTTGAGCTCTAGGACCAAGCGGAAAACAACCGTTTGTGTTGAAGCCTGTTTCCTGTTAGAGCATACTGTTAAGATCCCACAAAAGTGTCCGCTGCAATTCTAAAGTGAAAATTACGTCCATGGCAGAGGGTCGTTTTTAACTAATCATCAGTTTTTTTTTAAGTTTGCTAAATCAAACTCTGACAAATTCACATAAAACTGCAGGTTGTTTCATCTGGTGGAGCTTTTTACTCTTTAATAGCCTTTAACACGTCCTCCAAAAGATCTGCAGTCAGCTCCCAGCAGTCTGTCTCGGTTCTGTTTGAGAGCTCTAATATCTGATGGAGGAGCCGTGGAGATGGAGACAGCTGGAACATGCTGAGGGGTGGGGCTTATTGTCACAGGAAGTTGACCTTCAGGTTGACATCTTGAGCTAAATTATATTTAACAACAGTTTATTTAGCATTTTTAAATTCTCAGGCTGTACGTTGGTGAGCAGATGTCATGTTTCTGCAGCCGTGTGACCTATGGACCAATTATTAAACTACATTTACCTTTTTCTACCAAAACAAAATCTCCCCCAGTTTAAATGCTACTACTCTTATTAGAATAGTTTTAACAGAAATGTGTCGATATGATTATTCTTCCGTTATAGTGATTATAAACCATTAAAATCATCCAGATTAGACGTTCTGATTTATATAAATCTTTTTGCTCCTTTAAAAGAACAAAGAAAAAAAAAACACAAATGCTGCTTGTTTTAACAAAAATCTTTAATTTTCCTTTAAAAAAATAGAACATTTTGCATTAAAGTCAAAGATTTTATAAAAAATACAAATGTTGAAAATCACTGGAACTACAAAAAGATTTTAGGGCACCCAACTCAGACTGAGGAACTCTAGGAGCGGGTTTTCAAAAGAAAACACCAGTTTTGTGTGGTTGAATAAAGCAGATGTTCTCTAATTAGAATGTTGGTGAGACAGATGTGCAGCAGACGGGCTAGATGTTTTGAGCTTTACTGGACCTGACAATTATCAATGCAGAAGCAAACACTGAGATAATGAATGTTAACGAATACTGGCGTCTAAATCCTCCTGCAACATCTCTAACAGCTGTTCTTTCAGCTAAACTAGTCCTTTGGATGGCTAAAGCGTGGCTTGTTGTTTAGTGCAAATCCTGTCAAATCGGTTATTAATAAATCAGAATTAATACTACTAACGATTATTAAAAGCTTTTAATGCCCACTAAGTTTGGTTCAGGTTAAATATGAATAAAAACTTTAAGGTTATTTAGTCAAATGGTGGGTGAAAGTTTACCCCTAGTGGCCAAAGCACAGAATTACATCTGTCTGCATGAATTCGACTCCTGACTAATAATAAAAGTGTTTTGTATACAGCTTGAATAAAAGCTTGAATGAGCCTTCCCAAAAAAGCACACACGAAAAAAAACCTCACACGTATGTTTAAATTCTAATTCTGAGGTTGATAAAACCCAAAAACTGGTTTTATCAGTCAGATTTTATACTTTTTAAAAATTCGTTTAGCATTTTTTTTAAAGTTTTGTGGAAAATTCCCCCTTTTTTTGCCAACTTAAATTGAACCAGAAACGGTTAGCGGATCAAACATAAACATAAATAATGGAGAGAGAAGCCACTGAAAATGATCTGAAGTTCACGCAGATACCGTCAGCGACAGCAAACCCCAAAGCTGCTGGTGCAGCTCTCTGGATCGAAGGTTCAATTCCTGCAATGAATCCCATGGATCCAATCAGTGTTTTTATTTGGTTTTATAAAACAATTTAAGAGATGCAGACAAAGTGATCCTGGGTCAGATTTCTAATTCTACAGAAGCAGCAGCTCTCACCATGAGCTGTGTCTCCTGTGTGGATCTGCCTGGAAGTAATCATCTGGACTGACGGTCTTCACACCCCCAAAGTAGTCCAGCACCCACACCTGAAACACAGACATCCAAGTGACTTCCTGTCTCAGGTGCTGTTCGACCCACAGGTAGAACTGGTCTGAGAACAGCTGGATCTGGTACCTGAGTGATGTTGAACTTGGCAAAGAACCAGTTGTGGTCTGTGGGCCAGTCAATCATCTCTGGATGGCGAGTAAACAGCGATTTCTTAGCAAAGTCTGCCTCTGTACCGTTCACCTGGACACCAGGAGGGGTAGGGGTCATGTGACAGAGTTAGAGTAGAACACCTGAACACACAGGTGGGAGCAGGTGTGTACGTGTTGATACCTCCAGGACTGATCCAGACAGGATGATGTGGGCACACAGAGGACTCTGAGGGTCGAAGCCCTGCTGTCTGCAGTAATCAGTCTGAGCCAGAGACATGGACATGGACGCCTGAGGGTTCACCTGCAGGGACAGGGCAGAGGGACAGGTGGGTAAAACAGGTAACTGATCACACACACACACACACACACACACACACACACACACACACACACACACACACACACACACACACAGCTGTGAAGATAAACACAGAACTCATCTAAAACTAACAGGACCGGTACGGTACTTGAGGAGGGACACGCCCACTGCAAAAACACCTGGCACAATCAAGGATAAAACTAAAATCTTATTGAATAATTCAAAATTAAATTTACATTAAATAAAATGCTATTTTAACAATAAAAGTCTGAGCTATCTGTAGCTTTATGTTTTATTGTGAAAACCCGCTTTCCCTGTCATGTAACAGCAGTTTCAAACTGCCGAGTCACTGTTTGTAAAACTCCTAAGTCACGCTGACAACAGGGTCACGTGACGTGTTTGTGTTCCTCATTTTAGTTATGTGAAGGTTCCGAACACTAAATAAGGTTCTGGAGAGTCACCTGCAGGTCCTGGACGGAGACCTCCATGCGGGTCAGGTACAGGTACGGAACCCCGGTACTGGTGCCGTGCGGCCCGTCACTCACCGAGAACACGTTAGAGAACGGCTGACCCACCACCGGCTTGTGTGTGGAGATGGTGGCCACAGAGGCCCAGTCGCACCGGTGAGCGACGAAGCGGGCGACCCGGGCCACCTGGTCATGAGGCGGGATCTGGAACCGGCACGCGGAGCGAGACGAGGCGGGCGAGGACAGAGTCAGCGCGAGGAGCGCGAGGGTCAGAGGGCCGCTCATGGTCGCTGTCTGCAAGAGGTTACGGAGCGGAAAAAATATAAACAGATGGAGTTCCGGTTTGTCGTGTCAAAGTAAAAGCACCCCCCCCCCCCCAAAAAAAACAAAGGCCGCTGCAGAATCTAAAGGTCTTTAAATTTTACAGTCTGAAACTAAAACGTTTAAAGTAAAAGTAGTAAACGTTGGTAAAGACATGAAAGTGCAAACTACATAAATATAAAACCAAAATAACTTCATGTTCAGAATTAAAGTAGCAGCAGGTGTTGTGCATGCTTGCCGAAATTTGCATCCCCTGTTGTGGGGAAGGCCCATAAAGCTTTAAATAATTTTATTCTATTGACATGTTTGTTATCTGCGTGCTTCCCTGTGGTTTAAGGGCCAGATACATGAAATAAATGACATGTTTCATTTAAAGTAATTATACATTTTTAAAAGGGTTGTAATTGAGTTATATTGCTGTTTTTAAACCATCGCAAATTAGTTTAAGCAAACTTTAAAAAAACTATTTCCTCAGTAAAACAGCCTTAAACATGTTCAAAAACGTAAATTATTTAATCATTATTTCATCATATTGTCAAAAACAAAAACTTTCAGGAGAAACAAGGATCAGAAACGTGTTCACATTCTATTAAAATAGCCTCGATGCTCATAGTTCTAATCCTTTACTTCCAATACTTGCAGTTGCTTCACAGGTGATGCACAGTTTGGCAAGCGTACTCTTTTCAGCACAACACGTAACATTCTGCAAATTCTAAATAAAACTTTAAAAGGCAAAAATAACCTCTGAAAATATGTTTTAAAACAAAACTAATTGTTGTTCATTGTTTTCATTTGAAACCACAAAAAATGTCTGAAACAAAGATTTCAAAATGGAAGAAACCAGACAGATTTTTTTCTTCTGAAAATATTTTTATTACAAAACTTCAAAGAGAAAAACTAACAGTTACTAACACTTTGTGCCATGAAACAGCAGGACTGTAGGACCTCACATGCCAACGAGGTTCTCCTAGATGTGGAGCCACTGCCGACAATCGCTGCTACCACACAGACAAGGAACTTCCTGTTTCTGTCCCGGGTCAGCATACGCATCAGCAGCGTAATCCCAGGTCAGCTCGGTGCCGGATTTCACAACCCTGAATGAGACGAGAGTCAGAAAGAGAAACCAGAACCTCTTAAAGTGCGCTCGTCTTCCTCACCTGCTGGTGAAGAAGGCGATGACCGGAAAGGCGGGGTCGTGGGAGTCCGTGAAGACATTCTGGATGAAAAGGTTAGGCTTGCAGTTGTGCTGTGGGCGGAGTCAAATGTCATCATCATTATCATCAGCAGCAGCATCATGAGCAGCAGCAGCAGCTGGCTGTGGACTCACGTTAATGAAGCGGCTCACGTTTCCTTCCTTATTAGCGTCTATGAAACAGACTTCCTCCATTTCAGCTCCTCGTTTTAAACTCCTCTGAGCATTAGGCTTTGTGCTGCTCACCTCCTGCGTTTCTGTCGTCATAGCAACCGTTCCTTTTGGCATGTCAGCTGAGAGAACATCATCAGAACAATTCAGGTTGCAGAGCATCTGAGGGTTGTTGGTTTAGCAGTTTAGTTAATAAGTAACGTCCGTCACCTGCTGATGGAGACTTCTGATCTGGACCCTCCATCAGCGCCGTCGGACTCTGATGGAACAAGTACCAGGACCTTATTAAACATGTGTGTGTGTGATAAAAGTCTATGACATCACACCAGCATCAGTCAATAAGCGGAACTTTTTGTAATTTGATGAATTTGGCTGGTTTAAACTGGACCAAACTGGTTTAATCTGGATTAGGGTTAACCTGGTTCTGGGGCGGGGTGTTGGACTCAGCGGGTCTTTGGATCACAGGGACGTGCAGTGGGGGTGAGGTCAGGGCAGAAGAAGGTGGGGGCGTCTCCACCAGGTTGCTCCGCCCGTCTAGGATAGGCGGGGCCAGCCACTCAGTGACGACCTCCACTTCGTCGTCTGACGGGACGTCAACAGCGAACAGCTTTGCAGGTGGCAGCTCTACCGGACTCTGGACCCGCTGCAGGACCACACCTGTTCATGAAGCAGGTGTGAACAAAGCCCACCTCCTAAAATGGGTCAGCACCAGCACTGAGCCTCACCTGCGTAGATGCACACGAATGTGCCCCGATCCAGGTCATCACGGCAGCGGACACCCCAGCCCCGGTCCTCTGTCTGGAACACCTGGAGCCGGACTCTGAGGCCTCTTTGGACCAGGCGGTTCTGACAGCGGGAGCGGACGCAACCACACCACGGTCCACATTCGTACAACCTGCAGGAAGAGGAGAAAGGTTTGGTCTCTTCAACGAGTGAGCGAGCTGACAGGGCTCAGGTTCGTCCAGCTCACCCTGACGGTACCGGTTCCAGCAGCCGTTGGTGACTGTAGCCCCGCCCTCCAGTCGTCATGGCAACGCAGGCGCAGTGCTTGGCGTCGCTGCAGCCATCGGTGCAGTCGCAGCAGACACGAAACAGAGCTGGACCACGACTCAGAAAGCAGCCATGGGGCCACCGGTCCTTCCGGTACCGGAACTCGCTGGGCCGCGTCCCAGCATCCCCGACGCACAGCTCAACCGGCGTCGACTCCTTCCCCCGGCTCAGGTCCTCTGAGTGATGCCGACCTGGCATAGGGTCCAGCTGAACGAAATGGCTGAAGGTGAAGAAGTCCACCTGCAGCAGAAGAAAATGGGAGTCATCTCTGATCCGATCAGAACATTAATAATCTCCGGGCTCTGAAGCAAGACCTGCAGGACGTCATAGCTCTCAGTGGCCGACAGGAAACACATCACATCGTCAAAGTCACGGAGACTCTGTCCACACGGCGCCTTGTACATGACGTCCCAGTCCCCGTTGTCCTCCAGTCCCTCGGCATCCCTGAGCGTTGACATCAGCGGCATGGCGGTCAGCCTCTTAAAGCCGCAGAGCAGCGGGACCTTCAGAGGGTTCTGACAACTCAATGAGGTGGTGGACTGAAGCATTCTGGGTAAACTGGGCAGGCAGTCCTATGGGGGTGGGACGAGATGTGTGGCTTACTCACAAGAAGTTCCTGTTTTTAACCAGGAGATGTTCAACTCATCTACCTTACAGCATTGGTGAGGGAGGTACTCCAACTGCACCGGAGCCAGCGGAGGCAGCAGCTCGTCCCTGTCAGCAGGCGCCGTTGCCGAGACACCCAGCCCGTTAAAGAGACAGAACGGGGAAACGGGGGAGGAGGGGGAGGCTGGATCTTGGTCAGGGAGGTTAGCTGGCAGCAACTCACCTGTAGAAATAAATGATGTCATCACTCAGAAACCGCGATGTCACACAGATATGTGGAGGTGAGTCTTGCCTGAGCCGATGACCACCTGGACCACCGAGGATTCCTGGTTCTGATGAGAGCTCAAGGAAGAGCAGTCCAGAAACTCCACCAGCTTCAGTGCCTGAACGTACTCTGAAGGAAACGACACAAACATCACAACAAGAACTGAAACGCACTGCAGGGTAAACCAGGTGCGGGTCAGAACCTTTATCTGTAGCTGTTTTCCTCTGTAGAACCCGCTTCAGGTGTTCCAGGTACTCAAAAACCGAACTGAAAACCTGATCCACATCCTCATCTGCCCAGAAAGCTTTGGCCAGCTCTGTGGAACACATCGGGACAAAGTCCGAATCAGAACAAGTTCAGAGATGGTCAGGGAAACAACCACATCCAGACAGCTATCAGAACCTTCTGGACTTGAACACACTGGGTCTGAGATGGAGAAATGTTTCTGGTTATCTCCGAAAAACGACTTTAGTAAAAGAAAAGGAACAGAAGAAATGTAATTAGATTTGCCTCCAGCTAGACCTGATCGGATCAGGCCCAGAATAAGAACCACTTTTTAATTATTCAGAACTTTGTGTGAAAACTCAGGAACATAAAGACCCTGGTACTGAGATCGGTTTGGACCTGATGAAAGGTTTTGCCCTGATAAATATGGCGACAGTGAGATCCCGTAACAGTCAAGGCGAAATGAATTTATCTGAATGAAAATTGGTTTTGTCAGCTGAAAAATACCTTTTATATAACCGTAACCTTTATTAGCTCAGTCTGTGTGTGTGTGATAGGTTCTTACCCACATCCGGTGGTTCCGATGGCTCTCCCATCGCAGACTATTGTTAGCTAACAGCTAGCACCCAGCTAAGAAGTCTTTCTTACGAGTTAAACTCAAAGGAACACTGAGGTGGTTCGGTACTACACACTGAAGCAATAAACTGACTAACCGAACACGTTACATCATGCTGGTTCCATCGGAACCGAGTTTTGACCCAACAATTTAGTCAAACTCGAAGCCGCTGAGCAAAAAGCTAACTCACGGGGAGTAAAAAGCTAAAACAATGATACTGTATCAAGCAGCATAAACACAAATGTGACCATGTTTTAGACACGAGTTAATGTTTTAAAATCATATAAACTCTCACAAAAGCCATGCAGCGACTTGAAACCATGCTAGAAACGCTTTGTGACTTTAATTGTCTCAAACCGGCTGCCGTAGCAGTTGAGTTTTGTTATGCCCTGAAGTTTGTCTGTCAGGAGATTGTGACCCTTTTATGAAAGCTCTTTGTTTACAATATAATTTCCTACTCATAGAGGAAAATTTGAAAGGTATATCAAAAACAGTACAAAGAAATACACATAAAAATGAAGTGATGAAAATATTCTTAACTTAAAATTGGTTTGTTTTTATCTTTTCACGTTTCAACGATCATAAACTCACTGAGATTCAAACGAAAAAACACTCTCTGATCAACCTTGATACTTAAGCTTTCCATTTTAACACAGAACCAAGAAAAATAGATTTGAAGAAAACACATATCCACTGATAATTTCAAAACGTAAATAGTTTGAGGTTGATTAATTTCTTAAGTTTAAATTTTAAATTGCTTTATTTATTTTAAGTTACTGGAGAGTCAAACCAAAGATCTTTGCTGCCTGTAAGTCTAATTTAAGGGATTTTAAAATGGTGTAATTTGACCCTCGTGTTGCTCCATACCACAGAGCATTGATAAACAATCGTGTTTGTAGCGGAGATCCAGTTCTAACCTGCACGTAATTAGCACTGTGTTTGGGAACCAGCGGAACGACTGTTTTTATTGGGACGTTTGCTTCATGGCACCAATCAGAAACAGCTGCTACGGATCACTTCCGGTTGAGTTTTGTAACACTGATAATAAACTTATGCAAGTTTACGTGAGGTGTCAACGCCAGCAGAGAGCCGATGGGTGAGCAGCTTTAACCAGGGTGGCATCAAAAAGGTACTTCAATTTCAGATGACTCCGATTACTGATCATCACTTTAGAATCAGCTGAGTCAGTGAGCTTCTTTAAGATCACCTTGACTGTCCTCTTCTGCTGCAGTAGAAGGTTCTGGTGGAACTCTGATGTCTGAGATGTCTGGGGTCTGGCGGTCCGTCAGCGAGGCCTTCTGGGCAATGTGTGCAGCTGACTCCATGTCCATGCCGGCCCACTGGTACTACCACATCCAAGACATCAAGAGAGACTTTGGGGGCTGGATATCTGATTTCAGTTCACCTGCAGATAGACACCCATCCAGCATCCTCACCCTCTCCAACACCGGTACCAGAACTTAATGGTTTCATTATTGTAACCCAGGAACCTGGAGGCCTAGATCCCAAAGTATAAACTCCTAGAACACAACCCTGTGGAACTCCGCTGGTTAATTCTGATGCTCTTGTGTTTGGTTGTTGTGTTTCAGCTGGCAGTGGTCGGACTGCCTGGATGACCAGAACCAAACGGGCTGATGTGGTCGGTGACATCATCCTCCATGATAAGCTGGACTTGTGGAAGTCTTCCACTGGGTCAGTCCACTATCACCAAGGTAATGTTTCTGAAGCATCTTTGTTTTTGTTATAAATCTGTTGACTCGTTTGTGTGTGTTTGTGTGTGTGTGTGTGTGTGTTTGTGTGTGTGTGTGTGTGTGTGTGTGTGTGTGTGTATGTGTGTGTGTGCGAGAGAAAATGTCATGCATGTTAATCTTGTTTTTTCTTTGTATTTTAGATTGATAAACAGTTCTATTTTATGTTGTCTTATGTTTTGATCCTCAACAACCTTGTCATGTCCTGCAGGTCTTCAGGCAGGGGACAACACGCTGAACGTCCTCTGCTCCCTGCGAGCCGCACAAACGCTTGTCGCTGGACAGTTTGCTGACATCTCCCAGCCAGAGGCTCGAGCTGCCGTCCTGTCGGACTACGTCCAGTTCCTGACCAGATCTGGATCACACGCTGACACCTACGCTGAGTCCTTCCACCGCTCATTCTTCTCTGACTGGCGAGACAGTAGACCGACGTCCCCCCATGAGGTAAAAGCAGTTGTCCTCATCCCGCTGCTGGGACCCATGTCCTCTTTGACTAGATTTTTTCTGTCCAGGTTCTAGTGTTTGCAGAGACACGTTCCAAACAAATGCTGAGCTCTCCGTTTCCTGACAGCCAGCTGGATGCCATTGGCTGTCTTCCCATGATCCTCCCCTTTGTCCTCCTGTCAGCATCAGCCAATGAGAAGCGAGCTGTAAGCAAACTTAGCAGAGATGGCCCTGACGTGGTTCCTGGTGTCATGTCTCACCTGTAATGTCTCTCTGCTCAGGTGTCAGCAGCGGTGGACTTTGTGAAACTCACCCATCCTCACCCCAAAGTCCCTGGGTTTGTTTCCATCTACAGCCAAGCGCTGCACGCCGTTGTGGGCGGAGCCAGCATCCGCCAGCAGGCCGAGGTTGCCCTGAAGGCATTGGGTACTTGGGACACCTGCCAGAGCTTCAGTCACAAGGCTGCCAGGTCTGAATGAATCAAGTCAGACAGGTCCAGGTGTCATTAGGATGCTTTCAGAATAAAAGTCCACAGAAAAGAAGTTTTGATCTCGTTGCCTGTAGATCAGAATGACATAGACCTCCATAAAGTCCCAGAGGGAGGATCAGGGCTTTGATTGGTAAGATAGTTGGCTTAATGAAGTTCTCCATCGTTTCTAGCATTCAACTCCTATAGATGTCAATATTGAATAGGCCCTGGATGGACCACTTAACCACTATATCTGATACTGAGCTAGTGGCGTCCCTTGTGATTGTGCCATCCAGTGTGTCTCTGTAGATGGGATGTATGGTTTTTCGGCGGTGTCTCAGTAGAAGTCATATCAGAAATAATTTATCAGAAAATTCACAGAATATCCAGATTTGAGAACCAAGACCAGACCCGCTTCGGAGGAGAGGACCAAATTGAAGCTGAGATGGGAGGAAAATGCGTGAATGAGGCCAAAGATGGCTTTGGCGTGTTTCTTATGAGGAAATGACAATATAAAATGGTAAAAAGTTCTAAAAGTTAGATTTTTAATTATATGGAACCTTTACAAAAACGGTTCAATTAACCTCTCAACTCAAGTCCTCAATCTTGCATTTTAGATGATAACACCCTCTTTGGTTCCAGCATGCTATTAAGTCTAACAACTGGAAGGAATTGGACTGACTCTGATGGAATGGGCAGGGCTGACTCTGGTGCAGCTCCGCCTTTGTGGTTCTGCAGCGAGCACCACTTGGACTTGATGTTTCTTTCTCAGTGGCCTAGTGGTAGAGTGTCCGCCCTGAGACTGGGAGATCAGGGGTTCGATTCCTGGTCGGGTCATACCAAAGACTTTGAAAAAATGGGACCCAATGCCTCCCTGCTTGACACTCAGCATTAAGGGGTTGGATTGGGGGGATAAACCACCAAATAGTTCCCGAGCGTGGCTTGTCTGCAGCTCACCGCTCCCCCAGGGGATGGGTCAAATGGAGAATAAATTTCGCACACACACCTGTGTGTGTGACAACTAATGGGACTTTAACTTTAACTATCGGTCCTAGTAGTATGATGAGACTGCAGCAGGTTCCAGACTAAATAATCTCGTTAAATCAGATCCTGCTCAGATATACAAATCTGGAGGTCATTTTAGGATCCACACCCCTTCCTCCAGAGGCTGCAACAGCTCATTTAACCAGTTTTTCTGTCTTCCAGGTTTCCCGAGTGTTCCGAGGAGCGTCTGAAGGTCCATCAGACCGCTGTGAACCACCTTGGTCTGGCCTGCTACACCAGAGGTCAGAACCTGATCCTGGTTCTGACAGCTTCAGTTTGACTCTGCTTACAGACTAATTATGTTTATTGGACCTTCAGGGGCATTGTCCAGCTTGTTCTACCTCGCTCACGAGTTCCATGACGACATCAGAGGAGGAATCCTGACCAACACTAACTGTGGAGGTCAGAGCAATGAGGTTTTCAATGTTTAAGTCCTAAAATCCAGGGGCCTCGTTTATAAAGCTTTATGTAGAATCCTCACTAAAACTACTTAGACTCAGCAAAACTTTACTTACGCAAACAAAATTTCCAACCTATTAAACACTGTGTACACACAGCTGCACACAGTTCCTACTTTATTAATCCCACCTATCCTAGAAGTGGGCTCAGGTGATGTTGGATCGTATCCCATCTTCAACACACCAACCTACTGCCATAAATGGTCAATGTGAAAGGACCTTCTGAATATTCTCCGTATAAATAAGCCAGCTGATCTGGAAAACGCAATTTCACTGGGACTCAAATCGGGATGCTTGTGGGTGAGGTAGAGGCATGGAAGCATGTTTTATTGCCTTCGAGGGGCACAGCGTTGTTGCAGTGAAAACATTTAATTTAACCCAAACAGGCTCTAGGCCGGTAATAATAAATATATTTCATCCTGTCAAACAAATATCAGCCTGTTGCTAGTTCCTGCTAGAACCAGCTGGTTTAAGCTGGTCTGAGAGTGCAGCTGCAGGTTGGCTGGTGCCCGGTTCACAGCAGCTGGATCTCTGCTGCGTCTTGTGGAAACTGCTTTAGTTTTATGGTTTGACTAACAACGCATGTGCTGTTGTGTGACAGATCATTAAAGTGCCCAGCAATAATTTGAAGACTTGACAAATGAACATAGTGTTTTTAAACAAAGAGTTTTTAACACTTTATGGTTTTTGCCTAAATAAGCACTGAAACCAGTTTGAAAGCAATAGCTTAAATTGTTAAGAATCTTCTTAGCGTTTCTTAAAATGCACAGTCTTCAGATTCTTAGTTTTATTCTAATTCAGACACGGGGTGGGGGCTGAATGTTAACTGTGTGTGTGTGTGTGTGTGTAGTCTGCAAATGTGTCTTAAATTCACCATGTTACCGTCTCACCGGCTGCACTGCCAGGTTTCCCATCCAGGGATAGACTTTGTTTAAATTTGAGCACATTTTCCGTCTGATGGGAGGCGAGTTAAGCTCAGAGTCTGCATGGTGGCGCAGTGGTTAGCCCTGTTGCCTCGCAGCACGAAGGTTGCAGGTCCGAAACTCAGCTGCGGCCTTTCTGCGTGGAGTTGCGTGCAACAAAATAAAGACAAATAAATACCTCGTTGGCTGTTTTGCTTAAAACACAAAGGGAATCCATCTGTCTTCCTTTAAGTCCTTTCATTATTTATTCCTTCGGCAATGCATTGAATCTGTCCATTCTCAGCTAGCTGCTTGTAAGCACTTCATCCAGGTTCTGTGTGTTCCTCACACCTGGCTTGTATTCATCAATTAAGGGTGTGGCTGTCAGCAGCTCATGTAGCTTTTCAAAATAAAATTACAGGAAGCACAACCAACCCAGTGTCTTACAAATGGGAAAAATAAATAAATGAAGATATAAACAGCAACAGCAGTTACACCATGCATGTGTGGGTTTCCTCCGAGTACTCCGGTTTCCCCCACAGATCACAACATGCCCTATAGGTTATAGATTGTAAGTCGCTTTGGATAAAAGCGTCTGCCAAATAAATAAACATAAACATAGAGTCTCTTCTTCCAGGTTCAGACTTTTTGTGTTTGTGTTCAGGTGAGAACTGCAACCGCGGGGCAGCGCTCGGGGCCCTTCTGGGGGCTGGGGCCGCCCATGCCGGATTGGGCGTACCTCCAGAGTGGAAGGACAAACTCAGAGATGCCCAGGAGTTCCTCCCCAACATCTTGAAGGACGTGCACTGAGAGCCGCCCTGCCCTCTGGAGGACAGGAGGAGAACTTTCAGAAGAGCATTAAAATCTACTTCCTCTTTACGGGTGCCTCATCTCTCCTAAAATTAGAACATGATTTTTATTAATGATGAATTTATTTTCTGCACTTCTCACTTTGTAAATGAATAAGAATCAGAAAACCTTTCAAAGAAATATTATTCAATGTTTTTCTTATATATTACATTATTCTTATTGTCAGGCTGTGCTGTTTTTCGTTAAAGCTTTGAAATAAAATATTCACATGCTCAGACCAAAGTAATAACTCGTCTTTTGTGTGTTTATTATTTATGAGTTTGTGAGTTACTGTAGATGACCAGAACATTTCAACCAGATGTTTATTATCAGAATTGTTGAACACAAATAAACGAGTGTCTTTTAACCTGAAACAGGAAGTCAAACGTGTGGAGAATGCAAGTGTTTTTGTGTGTTTGTTTTTCACTACGTGACCTTTGGTCGGGCCACAACAATCATGGCGTTCATCAGCAAAAAGACGAGTCGTGTCTTCTTCCTACTGCTCATCACTGCTTCTCTCCCATCATGCACTGGGACTCAAGGAGGTCAGTTTGTTCCTTCAACTCTTCTTCTTCACCTCAGTGATCCGTTCCCATCAGGACTCCATCAGAGGAGTGCAGACCACAAGCAGATTACACAATCTGATGGCTTAAACTTTTCCTGTTTTATTAGTTTGTTCTATAATATTTATTTCTCTAACTGATTTTAGTGAGCAGGACTTTATGAAATTGTATTAAATATAATATATTATAAAATCAGGATTGGTGTTAATATGTTTAAAAAATCTGTAAAAGTTAATTTTAATAAGATTTTTAAAAATTACGTTATAGAGAACATTTTTATTTAGATATGAGATGGTCTGGATATGAGCTGGTCTGGATATGAGATGGTCTGGATATGAAAGGGTCTGGATATGAGATGTCTGGATATGAGATGGTTTGGATATGAGATGGTCTGGATATGAGATGTCTGGATATGAGATGGTTTGGATATGAGATGTCTGGATATGAGATGGTCTGGATATGAGATGGTTTGGATGTGAGATGTCTGGATATGAGATGTCTGGATATGAGATGGTTTGGATATGAGATGGTCTGGATATGAGATGGTTTGGATATGAGATGTCTGGATATGAGATGGTTTGGATATGAGATGTCTGGATATGAGATGGTTTGGATATGAGATGTCTGGATATGAGATGGTTTGGATATGAGATGTCTGGATATGAGATGTCTGGATATTAGATGGTTTGGATATGAGATGGTTTGGATATGAGATGTCTGGATATGAGATGGTCTGGATATGAGATGGTTTGGATATGAGATGTCTGGATATGAGATGTCTGGATATGAGATGGTTTGGATATGAGATGGTTTGGATATGAGATGTCTAGATATGAGATGGTTTGGATATGAGATGGTTTGGATATGAGATGTCTGGATATGAGATGGTTTGGATATGAGATGGTTTGGATATGAGAGGTCTGGATATGAGATGGTTTGGATATGAGATGTCTGGATATGAGATGTCTGGATATGAGATGTCTGGATATGAGATGTCTGGATATGAGATGGTCTGGATATGAGATGTCTGGATATGAGATGTCTGGATATGAGATGGTCTGGATATGAGATGGTTTGGATATGAGATTGTTTGGATATGAGATGGTTTGGATATGAGATGTCTGGATATGAAATGTCTGAATATGAGATGTCTGGATATGAAATGTCTGAATATGAGATGTCTGAGATGTCTGAATATGAGATGTCTGGATATGAAATGTCTGAATATGAGATGTCTGGATATGAAATGTCTGAATATGAGATGTCTGAGATGTCTGAATATGAGATGTCTGGATATGAAATGTCTGAATATGAGATGTCTGAGATGTCTGAATATGAGATGTCTGGATATGAGATGTCTGGATATGAGAAGGATTTGGGAAGATTGAGAGAAGGATCCAGGTTTGGAAGCAAAACCTTTGTCTTTGGTGCTGGTGGTGAGACCATAATATTTATTAATCATATTTCTCAGACTTGGAGATCTGTAGATCTTCCTCCTCATATTAATTTCCTTGCTGAAGTAAGATTTGGGTTTTAGTAACATTTTAGAAATATTCTGATGAGTTCTGCCCTCAGGTTTGTACCAAAGTTTTTTCAACTAATTCCAGCGGACATGAAGACCTTTTGCTTATGGTGTGCTTTTAGTTAATCTCTTCTATTTTTCGATAAAGGAGGAATGCTTCTGGACCAACGTGAGGCCAACATTTTCCTGCATCGTACTCGTCGTGCAAACTTCTTACTGGAGGAGGTGAAATTAGGAAACCTGGAGAGAGAATGTTTGGAAGAGAAATGTTCCTATGAGGAAGCCAGGGAGATCTTTGCCACACCTCAGCAGCTGGTAATTCATAGTCAAACCCATCATTTTAATCATTTTAGTTACACAATCTTCTCTGTTTTTATTGTGTTTTCTGTTTCCAGGAGAACTTCTGGAGGACATACACAGGTAGAGAAGACTCCAGCATTGATCATATGTACGGTAACGTTGCTTTTTGTTGACTTTTTCATTTCCTGTTTCAAGCTGTAGACCACTGCTCATCATCTCCCTGTAAGAATGGAGCAACCTGCACTCGTCACATCGACAGCTACATCTGCAAATGTTCACCAGGCTTCCACGGATTCAACTGTGACAAAGGTAGGAACAGCAGCTACAGGTCAGATGCTTCTCCTGGTCCTCCTTCATGTTGCCTCTGGTTTCATCATGTTGTCTATTCCTGTTGGTCTTGTTTTATGTTGTCTTGTTTCTTCAGGTTGTCTCCATTCGGTCTTTCTTCACGTTGTCTCTTGTCATTCGCAGTCCGCTCAACCCCAAACAGCTGTCGCTACAGAAATGGAGGATGTGAGCATTTCTGCAGACAGCCCCCGGATCAATCTCCTTCCTGTTTCTGTGCTTCAGGATATGGTCTGGATGAGGACAACAACACATGCCTGCCTAAAGGTCTGAACTGGTTAACAGGTTAACTGGATCTGGTGACAACAGAGCAGCTCACCTTCATTTATTCCTAACCAGATGACAGTTTTCTTTACATTCATACATTTAGTTGGAACCAAACTGGTGTTTTCAGCCAGTAATCTAGTGGTCAAAGCTCATTTAGGTGTTACTTCAGAATCTACCCAGAATTCCTGGTTGGACTTCTCTGGGAGGATCTCCTCCAGGTTGACCATGTGTTCCTGCTACATAAACCCTAAAGGGGGAAAGTTCGAAACCACAAGACTTGAAACTGGAGTGTGGCAACAACCAGAGCTAGTACTGGTATGAAAGGGGTTTCTTCTCAGGGTCTTTCAGAGTGTCTTTTGAAAACAACTGTCCATGTTGAGTATCTTCTTCTGGTTGTGGTTTCAAGCTTGTTTGGGAGTTTTTTTCAGAGCTTGTTGGATATTTAGCATAAGAGGCAGCATGCTGACCGGTTCTGTTGTGGGTGTGGTCTAGAGGCCGTTGTCTGTGGAAGACCATTGGTACATTTTACCCCGAGGATTGTCAATGGTCAGATGTGTCCTAAAGGGCAGTGTCCATGGCAGGTACGTTTTACCCTCCAGTCACATCAGGTGCTCTTCAGCTGGACCCAGACCACTTGACCTTCCTGGTCTCTGCTGTCTCTTCAGGCTATGTTAAGTGAAAACAACAAGTTCACATGTGGTGCCATTGTCCTGTCAGAAGTGTGGATTTTAACAGCAGCTCACTGCGTTTGGTCGAAGCCTGTCGCCATCTTCCACGTCACCGTTGGTAAGGTTGAAGTTGGACTACTTATCTTTTTTTTCTCTTTTTTTAGTCAGGCTCAGTCTTTGTCTCCAACTGTGTTTGTGTGAAGGCAAACATGACCGACAGGAGCCTGAGAAGACTGAACAGCAACGGCGAGTTCTTGAGGTGGTGATCCATCAAAACTACAGTCACTCCACCTACGACAGTGACCTGGCTCTGCTCAAGCTGCACCGCCCGATCAAACTGGGGCGCTACGTGGTGCCCATCTGCCTCCCTGCTCGCAACAGCACCTTCACTCGGACTCTGTCTTTAGTCCGCCTTTCCACGGTGTCTGGGTGGGGCCGCCTGTTAGAGTTTGGTTCTTCTGCTCGATTCCTGCAGCGTTTGGTGGTGCCAAAGGTCCACCCGCAGGAGTGTCGCCTCCACACGCAGCTCAACATCACCAAGAACATGATGTGTGCAGGACGAAGGCGTGGTGGCCAGGACGCATGTGAAGGTGACAGCGGTGGCCCACTGGTAACACGCTACAAGAAGACCTGGTTCCTAACGGGCGTGGTGAGCTGGGGAATGGGCTGCGCTAAAGAAAATATGTACGGCATTTACACCAAAGTCAGCAACTTTCTGGACTGGATCGACAAAATTATGGCTACTGGTTAATCTGGGTCAGACCAGTGGTGAGAAGTCACAGTTTAAAGTGTGGAGAAAGTTTGAATAAACTGCTGCTGATTTATTCTGAGTCTGAACTTTTTGTTCCTTCTGCATAACAGTTTAGATCCTATGCTAATAACATCATTAGTATCTGTTGGCTAAATCTTAGCTCACATCAAGCAATGAAACACGAGAACAACCAATCACAAGCAGGACTCACACACACAAGAGTGGGAGGAGCTTTGAAGGAAGAGCTGAAGCACAGCAGAGAGGGAGGGGGCGGGACCTCATTGAACAAAATGCTTTGTTTTGTCTGCGTCTGCGTCTTCCCTCATGTGTCTCCTTGTGTTCTTCATCCGTCTCTAGGTTCTCCCTTTGTGTCTCCCAGCGCCCTCATGTGTCCTTGTCTACGTCTCCCTCATGTGTCTCCTTGTGTTCCTCATGTGTCCCCAGATCTGCAGCCCCTCTAGGGTCCCCCCCCCCCCCCCCCCCCCGGTATCCCCTCCAGGTCCTGTGCTCCCATGGTTTTAGCATCTCTCGGTTTAGATATTTGGATTTTTGATTCTCGTTTTTTTTGGCTCCCTGCCTTCTTGGATTACTCCTAAATAAAGGATTTTATTTTCATCATCCACTTCCTGCCTTGTTCATCTGGTTCTCTGCATCTTTGGTCCTAAACTTCCTCCTGCCCAACTCGTGACATGTTTGACAGTAAAATATCCATCATAACCACAAGACTAATTAGAAAGCAGGCAAATCTTTATATCTGGGCTCATTAATAACTTAAAGTTTTAGTTTGATTTATCTTTTATGTCAATAATTTAGATTCACAAATTATTTGATCTATTATTTAATTGGTCAGTAATTTCAACATGAAAACAACAGACTGACTCTTTGGAGGTTTTCTTTACCAATTAAACATCTTTGTTTTTATTCTAAGTTGATTAACGCATACATTCTTTCAGTGGTAAAATAGCATGATTCTAGGGTTAAAATGTTCCATCACTGAGAGTAAGACTGGTGACTGGAGGAACTTTGACCATTGACCCGGACAGATGTTTACAGGACTGAAACGTGATCTGAACATCGATCCCCTTGCATTTCACTACTCAGGTGTTTCCATGGTCACCAGCAATTGGGGGGTGGGAGGGCACTTTGTACCTTCATGTCCACGGAGGCAAAGGACGGCAGTCCTGTGACAAAGTCAAGCATGTGGCTGAGAGTCTTCATCATGTTGGTCTTCAGCCTTCAGAGCTGCTGCTCAGTTTCAGGTGAGAGAATTGTATGTTCTTCTGATCAGAGAAGACGTGTTTAGTCTTTAATAGCAACAGCGCTGTCAGCTAGATAATGAAGGTTATGCAAACAAATGATAACATCCACTCTGACTTTTACTTGCCTCTTAAGTTCAACGATCTTTGGGTTTTAAACAGCAAAAGCCAAGAAAACGAGGAGTTCTTGGTTTTACACAAAAACACTGAAAACTGGATTACTTGTAATAATTAAATGAGTGAAGCAAAAAACTGACCAATACACCAAAGATGAAACAAACAGCAGAATTTAAATGACCTGCTTGAAAACAGGAAGTGACATCACCATTTACCAGGATTCTACTCCTGGTTTAGATTAAAGTTTGTGGTTTAAAGGAATGAATGGTTTAAGTGTTAACTAGCTTGTGTCCACCTGATTTCTTTTCTGATGGATCCAAAAAAAAAACTTTCTGGTGTTTAATAGTTGGTGTTCTTGGCTAAACATCCCATAAAACTCCCCCTGATCTCTAGAGAACTGCTGTAAACAATCACAACTATCAATTAACAGATTCTTTAAGTGAATTTATTAAAAAATATCTTGATGACTACAATCCTGGTCAATTCTTTACTTGTTCTGTGTTCCTCAGTCTTTCTGGGTCCAGACCAGGCCCATGGTGTTCTGATCCGGACTCGGAGGTACAACTCCGGCTGGTTTGAGGAGCTGAAAACGGGAGATCTGGAGAGGGAGTGTTTGGAGGAGAAGTGCAGCTTTGAGGAGGCCAGAGAGGTGTTTGAGCATACAGAGACGGCGGTTAGTGATGTTCCAGATGAACTCTGAATCTAGAAGTCTGAGTCCAGAAAACTGACAGAACCCAGCAGGTGCTGCTGGTACTTCCACTGATGTTCTGCTCTTTTCTTTTCCTCAGAACGAGTTCTGGAAGACGTATTCCAGTAAGAAACACTTTTTTGTTACTTGAAATGTCTCTCTGATGATTGTCTCACTCTATTGTGGTGGTTCTCCAACTTCTGACTTAAAATGAACTCCAGAAGAAGAAAACTTGTTTGATGTTTCCTGTAAGGTGTTTGATGGAAGGAGAAACTGGATTGGTGGGGGCTCCAATCTATTTATGGGACCCGTGGATCCTTGCAGTACAGCCTCTGAAATGTGGAATCTTTCTTTCTGGA